CCAGGGCGTGCCGATCTTTGAGTTAGACATGGATCAGATAGGTGCTGCTTTGCATGCTTTGTATGCTGACGCTTCTAGTGTTGCTGGATCTTACTACCCTGTGTACTCTAGTTTAGGTGTTTCACCCTTGTGTAGCTTAGCTTCCCCTGCTGCGACAGGCGTAGGACTGCCTAGGTTGCCTAGTCTAGTCGCTGCACCGGCTCCGTCCCCGGCCTCCGCCACTGCGTCGCTGTCCTTCACTCTCGACTCCGGTGCTTCTGCGTGCTTCTTCCGCGACCGTTCCACGCTCACGCCGCTTGCTGCACCTGCTGTTGTCTCTCTCGCTGACCCCTCTGCGGGTCCGGTCGTCGCGCGCAGTTCTACGTCCCTTCCCTGTCCGGCAGTTCCCTCGGGCTCCCTTACTGGCCTCCACGTTCCCTCGTTCTCCAGGAACCTGGTTGGTGTCGGCTGTCTCCAGGACCTCGGCGTCACCACCACGTTCCCCGGTCACGAGCGGTTCGCTGTCTGTTCTGAGGCTGTCTCAGGTTCCCCCCTTGCGACGTTCCCCCGGGACCCGGTGTCCGGTCTGTTTACCCTCGACACCGCTTCCCCCCCGGTTGGTGCGTCCTCCCAGGTCGCTGCAGCTTGCTCGTGTCGGTCCCTCACTCACCCGTCCCTTCTGTGGCACCACCGCTTAGGTCACCGTGCTCTCCCGCGTCTGCGTCACATGTCCCAGCACGGTCTTGTCTTAGGTCTCCCCGCGTCGCTCCGTGCACTTCCTCCCTCAACTGCGCCACCATGCACGCCGTGCGTCGAGGGTCGGCTCCGCCGTGCTCCTCACTCCTCCTCGCTGCGCCCTGCTACTGCCCCCCTTCAGACCCTGCATCTGGACGTTTGGGGCCCTGCCCCCGTCCCCGGACCGCGCGATGAGCGCTACTTCCTTGTGCTCGTCGACGACTACACGCGCTAAACCACGGTGTTTCCCCTAGAGCGGAAGGCCGACGTGCCCGACGTTCTTCTCCCGTGGGTTGTGGCTGCGCGTCTCCACCGCGGTCTCCCCGTGTTGTGTCTCCACTCCGACCGTGGCGTCGAGTTCGCCTCTGGTCGGCTTGGACAGTTCTGTCGTGCGGAGGGCATCACCCAGTCGTACACCTTGCCGGACTCGCCACAGCAGAATGGGGTTGCTGAGCGCCGCATCGGCTTGGTCATGGAGGTCGCCCGTACCTCCATGATCCATGCCGATGCCCCCCATTTTGTGTGGCCGTTCGCTGTTCGCTACGCTGCTCACCAGCTTAACCTGTGGCCACGCTCCCAGCGGCCGCAGGTTTTGCCGACCCTCCTTTGGACTGGGTCCCCCGGTGACGCGTCTGCGTTCCACGTCTGGGGCTGCCTTGCTCACGTTCGTGCCTCTGGCACGGACAAGCTCACTGCCCGCACTGTCCCCTGTGTCTTCCTCGGTTTCCCCCTGGACTCGTCTGACTGGCTTTTCTACCACCCGCCGTCTCACCGCTTCCTCCACTCTCGTGACGTCACCTTTGACGAGTCCGTCTCCTTCTACCGCCGTTTCCCTCACCGAGGTCTCCCAGTTGCCCCCCCCCTTTTCCTTGCTCCCTCTCCCCCGGTAGCCCCTGCCCCTCTCCCGCCTCGTCCTGCCCCGTCTGGTGTCTCCAACGTCACTCCCCTCCCGTCGGTTGTCCCCGTTGAGGAGTCTGCTGACTGTGGTGGTACCCCCGGTCCGTCCTTGCCGCGTCCCCCTTCCCCGGTGCCTCCGCCCCCACTGTCGCAGTCGCCGACCCCGCTGCCGCCGCCGTCGCCGTCGCCGCCGCAGCCGTCGCCGCTGTCGTCGCCGCCGCCGCCGCTGTCGCTGCCGCAGCCTTCGCCGCTGTCGCCGCCGCCGCAGCCATTGCCGCCACTGCCGCCGCTGCTCTCGGCCCCTGGGGGTGCTGGTGTGGAGGAGGGTGTTCGTCCTGCGGCTTCTGGGGGTGCCGCTGGTGTTGGAGGGGGTTCTCGCTCTGGGGGTGTTGGTTCTGGGGGTGCTGCTGTTGAGTGTTCTGCCGACGGTCGTTCTGCCTCTGCTGGTCCGAGAGTTCCGGCCCAGCCGTCGTCGCCGCCGCAGCAGCCGTCGCCGCCGGTTTCCGCTCTCCGCCTGCTCGGCCTTCCCTCCCCGGACCGCGCGCCGGTGTCTCCCCCACCGCCTCCTGACCTTCCTGTCTACGGTCCTGTGTTCCCGCCGCCAGACTCGTCTCCGGCCCGTCTTCCTCCTCGTTCCCCTCCTGTGTCTCCTCCGCTGTCCCCTGACCCTACCCCTCCGTCTCACGTTTGGGCTCGCCGTCCCTCCCGTGCTCGTCCCGTCTCTCCTGTCCTGCCCACCCACCCTATGTTGCTCCGTTCCCACTCGTCTCGTCCTCCCCTCCTCCCGTCCCCTCCTCCCTCGTCCCTTGCTGTTGCACCTCCTCCGTTCTCTGACTACCTCCGTGCTGCTCGTCCCCTTGTCCCTCGGGTCCTTGCCTCTCTTGTTACCGACCCTGCTGTTCCTGTCTCGCGCCTTGACGCGCTTGTCGCTGCTGTCGCTGACTTCGCTTCTACCCGCCGCCTTGACTACGCTACCGCTCTGGTCTCTGACCCTGCCCGTCCTCTGTCCGTCGGGGGTGCTCCTGCCCTTGGCAGTGACGTCCTAGAGGACAGGCAGTACGAGCTGGCTTTCCTTTCCGAGGCTGCTCCCCATCTCTGCTCCATGCTGTTAGTCCCTGAGGGTGACCCAGACGCCTTCGACATCCCGACCCCTCGCACCTACGCTGAGGCCACCTCGGGACCTTGGGCCTCTCAGTGGATAGCTGCCATGGAGCAGGAGATGGCATCTTGGAGATCCACCGGCACTTACGTCGACGCAGTTCCCCCGCCTGGGGTGAACGTAGTCGATGGTCGGTGGCTCTTCAAGGTGAAGCGCCCCCCTGGAGAGCCGCCTGTCTTCAAGGCGCGCTACGTGGCCAGAGGTTTCAGTCAGCGCGAGGGGGTTGACTTCTTCCAGACCTTCGCCCCGACCCCGAAGATGACCACTCTTCGGGCGCTGCTACACGTAGCAGCACAGCGTGACTACGAGCTTCACTCCCTCGACTTCTCTACTGCCTTTCTTCAGGGCAGCCTACACGAGCAGGTCTACCTGCGCCGACCACAGGGCTTCACTGGTACCTTCCCTCCTGGGACCCAGTGGCTTCTCAGGCGCCCGGTCTACGGCCTGCGTCAGGCTCCCCGCGAGTGGCACGACACGCTACGTGCCACGTTAGCAGACCTGCAGTTCTTTCCGTCCTCTGCTGACCCTTCACTGTTTGTGCGTTCCGGCCAGACTCCGTTCTACATCCTTGTCTACGTAGACGACCTGGTCTTCGCTACTCCTGACAGGGACGCACTGGCCTCTGTGAAGGCTGAGCTGCTGAAGAGACACACCTGCACTGACCTTGGAGAGCTGCATCGCTATCTTGGCCTGCAGATCTCTAGGGACAGAGCAGCACGCACCATCACTCTGACCCAGTCACACTTGGTGCGTCAGGTCCTTCAGAGGTTCGGTCTTCAGTTCTCCTCCGCACAGCCCACACCTCTACCCGTAGACCATGGGCTCTCTGCTCCCGTTCCTGAGGAGCCAGTAGAGCCCAGTGGCCCCTACGCAGAGCTGGTGGGTTGCCTCATGTACCTGATGACTTGCACTCGCCCAGATCTCGCATACCCTCTCAGCATCGTGGCTCGCTTTGTGGCTACAGGCAGACACCGACCTCAGCACTGGTCTGCCGCTAAGAGGGTTTTGCGTTATCTTGCTAGTACATCAGGCATGAGGTTAGTGCTAGGAGGACGCAGGCCAGTGGTCCTTACTGGGCACACAGACGCTTCTTGGGCAGACGACGCTGAGACGCTCAGGTCGTCGCAGGGCTACTGTTTCAGCCTTGGTTCGGGTGCTATCTCTTGGAGATCCACTCGCTCGTCGTCTGTGGCTCAGTCTAGCTGTGAGGCTGAGATCTACGCTGGTGCCATGGCGGCACAGGAGCTCCGCTGGCTGACCTTCTTGCTCACTGACTTAGGTGAGCAGCCTAGCTCTGCCCCGGTCCTGTACGCTGACAACAGGGCTATGATACTCGTGTGTCAGGAGCCTCGGCTTGAGGGCAGAGCGAAGCATATCCAGCTGCGGTACTTCCTCCTGCGCGAGCTACAGCAGCGCCGCCAGGCCCGCGTAGTTCACTTGGCCTCAGGTGCCAACACAGCTGATATCTTTACTAAGGCGCTTGCGCCTAAAGATCATCAGCGGCACTGTGTACAGCTTGGTCTTGTTCCTGTAGCTGCTCCCCTGTTAGGATCCTGATTGTGTACTCTCTATTGTATATGCTTGTCAGACTGGCCTTGTGGCCTTACCTCCAGTGGCTGGACTAGTAGTGCCACCCTGGCTTGCTTTAGTTTTGGTGGTATTCTTGCTGACTGGTCTCCAGACCCCTGCCTCAGTGGTTGGACTAGTAGTGCCGCCCTGAGCTGTTTGCTTCTTGTTTAGTTTCACCCCTTGTCTAGCCTAGGGGGTGTGTCAACTTATACATATTATCTATGTAGAAGTTATAGGCTAGACTGAGGTATGCTTCTAGTGAGTACAACCAACTAGTATTTGTTCTAGGTTTCCACCTCTAGTAATCATTCGTTTCTACGTTAACAATAGCATGCACCTATTTAGCCTATTATAACATATACAAATATGTTTGACATTCAGACCATCAGACGGATTTCAAACCATCAGACGGATTTTAGGCCATCAGACGGATTTCAAACCATCAGACGGATTTCAGACATCAGACGGATTTCGTTTGATATCTGAAACCCTGACCAGCAGCTGCTGTTAGTGACATTGTGACTTTTGAGTCGACTCAAAAGTCATCTCGGATTTCGTCTGATATCTGAAACCCTACTGCACACTCATTGCTTTCCAGCAGCTGCTGCTTGTGACATTAAGAACTCTCTGGCCCACCTTGCCTCCCGTCATTTTGCTCCTGTTTTTATTCAAAAGAATCCTTTCCCAGGCCTTTGTTTAGCACCACATATGAAGAAGCAAATGTCAACCACACATTGGATACATTGGAACTGCTCGTCCAGTTGGTGCCAGACACAGGCTTGTGCTGTGCTGCACTCAAGGTAGGGAGCTCTTAGCACACAGCAAAGAGCACTTGAGAGCTCACGAAGAGGCAATGAAGTCCACGACGCATCGGATGCTCTGGAACAGCTCGTCCAGGCGCTGCCCCCTGTGGTGTGGTGCACTGCTCCAAGGAAGGTAGCTCTTTCCACTCAGCACATGCCTGAGGCAATGGCGCACAGCACTGCTCACGAAGAGGCAATGAAGTCAACGACGCATCGGATGCTCTGGAACAGCTCGTCCAGGCGCTGCCAGCTGGAGGCCTGTGCTGCTCGCAGGGCAGGCAGCTTGGCGCGCAGCTCAGGGAAGGATGAGATGGCTGATCCGTGGATCTGTTGAGTTCAGGGTAGGCCATGGCACACACAAATAAAGACAGTGTTAGGTACCAACGGAGGACTCAACTAGGGTTTAACACACAGCACAAGAAAACGGTGAAAATCTGAAAAGTGTCAGAAGTTTCACTTTACAAACATGACACATGCAGACACGACAGAGCTCTTCTCGAGCCAGTAAAAAGCCTCAAAGCACTAGGGCCAGTAACAATGAGGAACAGGTTACAGCACGCCCAAAAGCAAGAGAGCACCACTTAGTGCTGGGTTTAGCCATACGTGGCAGCAGGCTGTAAAACACTGTTTTTTAAAAGGAGGTGCTTGCTCAGCGGAACTGGTGCTCTCTAGCCTCACAGCACTACGGCCGGTAACAATGAGGAACAGGTTACAGTCACGCCCAAAAGCAATGTGGAAGGGCAGAACATGCTTTGGGGAGTCTATTTTTGAGGCGCCTAAAAAATAGAAGGCCAGAACATGCTTTGGGGAAGCGCCCGGACAAGCTCAAAAGTCACCTCGCTTTTAGAGAAGTCTCAAAAACCAAAAACCCTTGCTACCCCCATCCATCCACTCACCGCCAGGAACCGGTGTGTCACGGCTTGCAGCAGCTCAAAGTCGCAGCTTCCACGAAGCTTCTCCTCGAGGAACGCCATGAGGAGGGCCACCCGGTGCAGGTCGGACGGGGAGGGGCTCTCATCGACGATCTCGACCGCCCGCAGCTCCAGATCAACGGCTGACGGCGACATGGCTTTCAGCAGCGCAGTGGCTTGGGAATCTGCAAGGGAGGGAGACAGAAAGGGAGGACGGCGGGAGAGGCAAGGAAAGAAGGGAGAGAAGAAACTATGACAAGTGAATGTTTACACCCCGGCTGCGACTCACAGTCTGCTGGCTAGCCACGCAAGGCACCGCAGAGTGATCTACTCTACGCCCCGGCAGACTCACAGTCTGCTGGCTTGCACTGCGCCCCTCTCCTTATCGCCCTCATCAGCTCTGTGTCCACCTCTGACTCGTGTGGGCCTCCTGTAAGGACAAGTCGTCTCTGACTTGGCACATCTCCTCTCACTGCAGGTCATGCCACAAGGAAAGGGGACTCACAGTCTGGTGGCTTGCACTGTGCCCCCCTCCTGATTGCTCTCATGAGCTCGGCATCCATCTCAGACTCGTGCGGGCATCTTGTGGGTTACAAGACTTATCACATGGGACATGGCATGAGGATAGAAGACTCACAGTCCGGCGGTTTGCACTGCGCCCCTCTCCTGATCGCCCTCATGAGCTCTGTATCCATCTCAGACTCGTGCAGCCCTCCTCGCACCACCCTGCCATGCCTCCTCTTCCCCAACACACCTCCCTCCTTCCCCCAATCTCCTGCCTCCTCTCCTCCATCCTCCCTTTCCTCTCCTCCCTCCTCCTCCCCCTCCTCTCCCTCCTCTCCCTCCTCTCCCTCCTCCCCGTCCTCCATATCCTCGTCTCCATCAGTTCCCCAACCAGGTGCGGTAGCACCTGAAGAAGCACCTGAAGCAGCAACAACTGCAGCCACACCAGCAGCGGTAGGTTCCGCCGAACCAGCCGCCCCGACCGCACCACCAGCTTCGGCCGAACCAGCCGCACCAGCAGCTTCGGGAGGGGCGAAGTGGATGGCACCAGAGAAGGTGGGCACAGAGGGGAGGAAGAAAGGCGCCTGCTCGGGCTTCTTGGGCGGCTGGATGGGTCTGTTGCGCTCCTTGATCACATCTAGCATCACCAGGTTCACCCACTGGGAGCGCGGCAGCATGGCTCGAGATATCAGCCCAGGGACCTGTAGCTGTAGCTGATTCTGGTCCCCTCCTGCTGCCTTCCCCGTGCCTTCTCCTGTCCCAAGTCTCTCCTTTCCACCACTGCCAGCAGCAGCAGCAGCAGCAGCAGCAGCAGCAGCGGTTTCATATTCCCTTGCTTCTCTCTCTGATTCTTCAGCGGTCCAAAGCTCAGCTCTCGTCCCCTCCTCGCCCTTCCCCCTCCCTCCCTCGCCCTCTCTCCCACTCACTCCCCCTCTCCCTCCTCCCTCCCCAGCTATAACCGCCATGTCCCCTGCCCCCATGTCCCTCACACTCACTCTCCTCCCCCCCTCCCCCTCTCCGTCGTCTCCCCCCTCCGCCCCCTCGTTTGGACCAATCAGAACTGGCATCTGGACAGCTGGCACGCTGTCATTGGTGGTGGTGCTGCCGTCAGGGAGAGAGAGCGGAGCAGGGAGAAGGTCGGAGTCATCAATCCCAGAATACATGGCTTTGTTTGCCCTGAGAAAGGGGGTAGAAGTAGGGGGGGACGGAAGGGAGGGGCGGGGGGAGGGGGGGTGGTACAATAGTAGTGAGAGCGGAGCAGGGAGAAGGTCGGAGAGTTATCTATCCCAGAATACATGGCTTTGTTTGCCCTGAGAAAGGGGGTAGAAGTAGGGGGGGACGGAAGGGAGGGGCGGGGGGAGGGGGGTGGTACAATAGTAGTGAGAGCGGAGCAGGGAGAAGGTCGGAGAGTTATCTATACCAGAATACATGGCTTTGTTTGCCCTGAGAAAGGGGGGGAAAAGGGGTAATGGAGAGACGGGGGAAGGGGGAAGGGGGAAGGGGGAAGGGGGAAGGAGGAAGGGGGAAGGGGGAAGGGGGAGGGGGAAGGGGGGAGGGGGAAGGGGGTGAACAGTGGTACAAAGGGAGAGAAAGCGGAGCAGGAAGGAGGTTGGTTGGAGTCGTCTATACCAGAATACATGGCTTTGTTAGCCCTGAGAAAGAGAGGGTAACGGGAGGAATAATGGGGGAGAAAAGTGGGAGAGGTTGAAAGCTGGTGCAACAGGAGACAAGGGCGAGCAGTGAGAAAGATGAGCCGTCTATTCCAATGTGCATGGCTTTGTTGGGCCTGGGAAGACAGGGGAAACGGAGATAGATTCTTACTGGAGATAAATGCTCACTGGAAATATATGGTTACTGGAAACAAAAGGTTACTGGGAACATATGCTTAGTGGAGATAGATAAATGACAAGGACAGCCCCACCACACCACAGCTGTGGGCACTTCGAACGCGCCTACCAGCCGGCCCGGCCACAAGCCTACCAGAGACAATATTCTCCCCATCAGAGGCGCTTTGATTCTCACCAGAGGTAGATGCCTCGGCGGTTGAGGTGGATTGTAGCAAGGAGGTCCGAGCTTGGAGACATGGAGAGACTGCCGGCACTTTGAGCGCGCCCAGCAGGGTAAGCGGTGACTAATAGGGAAGCCAAATAGGCGCACATGCTCACCAGAGGTAGATGCCTCGGCGGTTGAGGTGGATGGTGGCCAGGAGATCCGAGGAAGGAGACATGGAGAGCCCCACCACAGCCGTGGGGACTTTGAACGCGTCCAGCGGCCGGCCACTCACGACGTGCCACGTGCGCACAGTCAGATCCATGGCTGACGTCAGCAGCCACCGGCCGTCGGGGCTCATCTCCACGGCGGTTATCCGATCCTGGTGGCCCGGGAACCGCCGAACCAGGCGCCCAGCCTCGGCGTCGAAGATGTAGGTTGTGAAATTCTCACAGGCGATTGCTGCTAGGTCTGGTGGGGAGGACAGGGAAGAAGATGGGAGAAAAGAGAAGTTGAGGGGGAAAGGAAGATGGGAAGGGGAGAGAAGGGGAGATGTAGGTTGTGAGGTTCACACAGGCAATCGCTGCTAGGCCTGGTGGGGAGAAGAGGGAAGGGAGGAGAGGAAATGGGGAAGGGGAGAGACGATGGGGACTCCTAAATTCAAATAGGCTATTGCTGCTGCCAGGTGTGGTGGAGAGAACGGGAGGGGTGGCATTAGAGACAGATAAAAGACTGTGGGAAAGTGAAGACAGCTGGGTCTCAATAGAGAATGTAAGGAGATTCTATAGCGGCAAGACAACAGAGATTTCCTGCTTTGCTACAAGTTTTACTCGATATAAGCACACTCACTATTGCCATGGTGGAACTTCCCCTTCACAACTGGAGAGCCAACATACACATTTTGTACAGTCATCTCTGTATGTACGGTATACTCGGTATAAGCACACTCACTATTGCCACGGTGGAACCTCCCCTTCACGACTGGAGAGCAAACATACACATTTTGTACAGTCATGTCTGTACGGTATACTCGGTATAAGCACACTCACTGTTGCCATGGTGGAACTTCATCTTCACTATGGGAGAGCCAACATTCACATCAAAACGCAGCCGCCCGGATTTGAGAAACCACACCTGAGGGAGTGAGGGGGTGGTGATTGGGGTGAGGGGGTAGTGGTTGGGGTGAGGGGGTAGTGGTTGGGGTGAGGGGGTAGTGGTTGGGGTGAGGGGGCAGTGAATAGGAAGGGTTTAGGTGAGGAATGAGGACTGGGGAGTGGGGAGTGGAGTGAAGAGAGAAGAGAGAGGAGTGCCTTCATGTGCCGTACTGCAGCTTGCTGGCTTGAAAGCCGGTGCTACAATCCAATACACTCAACTTCGTCACACGCACCTTGATCCGCCCGCCCCTGTCGTAGCTGGCACCATGTCTGTTGACTCAAAATACAGCAGCGTGTATTTCGAGTTGACTCAAAACACAGCTGCATGCACCTTGACCCGCCCGTCCCTGCCGCAGGAGAGAGACAGCATGCCTGTTGATAGCGTCCACAGCAGCGCCTGTCACCATGCCACCATGCGCGGGGGGCGAGCTGTACTCTGTAGCGTCCTACACTGGGGCATCATGGTACGGGATCCTCATGTTCACGCGCACCTTGACCCGCCCGTCCCTGCCGCAGGAGACAGCATGGCGGTTGATGGCGTCCACAGCAGCGCCTGTCACCATGCCACCATGCGCCGGGCTGTACTGCTGCTTGCGTGTCTGGTACGCCACTCGGTGCCGCGCCGACTGCAGGTGGAAGAGATGCAGGTGGCCGGCTGAGGTGCCCACCAGGGCAAAGTTGCCACACACACTGACAGCACAGGTCTGGTGTTAGGGCGGGGAGGGGACGACAGAGAAGGGGAGACAGACAAACAGAGTTGGTTGCTGACTGCTGCTTGCGTGTCTGGTACGCCACTCGATGCCGCGCTGACCGCAGGTGGAAGAGGTGGAGGTGTCCGGCAGATGTGCCCACTAGAGCGAAATTGCCACGCACTCTCACCTACACAGGTCTGGATTGTGGGAGAGGGGGAAGAGTGGGCAATGGAATGCAATGGGAGAGGGGGAAGAGAGGGCAATGGAATGCAATGGGAGAGGGAGAAGAGAGGGCAATGGAATGCAATGGGAGAGGGGGAAGAGAGGGCAATGGAATGCAATGGGAGAGGGGGAAGAGAGGGCAATGGAATGCAATGGGAGAGGGGGAAGAGAGGGCAATGGAATGCAATGGGAGAGGGGGAAGAGAGGGCAATGGAGTGCAATGGGAGAGGGGGAAGAGAGGGCAATGGAATGCAATGGGAGAGGGAGAAGAGAGGGCAATGGAATGCAATGGGAGAGGGAGAAGAGAGGGCAATGGAATGCAATGGGAGAGGGGGAAGAGAGGGCAATGGAATGCAATGGGAGAGGGGGAAGAGAGGGCAATGGAATGCAATGGGAGAGGGGGAAGAGAGGGCAATGGAATGCAATGGGAGAGGGGGAAGAGAGGGCAATGGAATGCAATGGGAGACGGGGAAGAGAGGGCAATGGAATGCAATGGGAGAGGGGAAAAAAAGGGCAATGGAATGCAGCTTCCTTGACTGGTACGCCACTCGGTGCCGCACCGACTGCTCGTGGAAGAGGTGGAGGTGTCTGGCTGAGGTGCCCGCCCACACATACGCTGCCAAATGATCTGTTACAATACTGCTACAGCCATTTGATCTTACTATGATCTCACTCCTTACGATGCCAAAGAATGATCTCTTGGATTCGATGGCAGGGGAGGATTTGAATCCAGCTTCAGCCTTCCAAATTCCCAATCCCAAAGTTCTCCAGCTCCCACACGCATGCTGAAGAACGATCGCTTATGATACAGCTTGAGGAGTCTATTTTTGAGGCGCCTCAAAAATAGACTCCTTCCAAATTCCCAATCCCAAAGTTCTCCAGCTCCCACACGCGTGCTGAAGAACGATCGCTTATGATACAGCTACCGCGCTTTTGAACTCGTTATACTGTCAATGCTTACAGTGGCAGGCAGGGGAGGCTTCAATGCCTGGGGGCTCCGGCTTCAGCTTCCCAAACATAAAGCTCCTCAGCTCCCACATGTATACTGCTGGGCGAGTTGCTCGCAGCACCAACAAACAACAATGGCTTACCGTGGCAGGGGACGACTTGATGCCTGGCGGCTCCGGCTTCAGCTTCCCGATCACAAAGATCCTCAGCTCCCAGACATAAACTCCAGGGCTGGCAGGTACAGTACTATCACGAAGCTCCTCAGCTCCCACACGCAAGCTGCAGGTTTGTCGGTTACGTTACGAGGTGACTTTTGAGTCGACTCAAAAGTCACCTACGAGCACAGTCCCTTAAATCCCAATACCCCGTCAACCAGAACTATGGCACAGGAGGCTTCTATGCCTGGGGGGTCTAGCTTCAGCTTCCCAATGTTACTCAGCCCCCACACGTATGCTGCAGGATTGCAATGGGAGGGACAATACCAGAACAGCCGTTTTGTACTCGTTATAGAGTCTCTTCCTACTGTGGCAGGTGACGCCTCGATGCTTGGGGACTCCGGCTTCAGCTTCCCGATCACAAAGTGCCTCAGCTCCCACACATAAGCTCCAGGGCTGGCAGGTACAGTACTATCACAACCCTTTTAGGTCTTGCTCCGTGAAAATCTCACTCCTTACAGTGGCAGGGGAGGCTTCAATGCCTGGCGGCTCCAGCTTGAGCTTCCCGATGACAAAGTTCCTCAGCCCCAACATGTATGCTGCTGGGTTGCCCTGGGAGAGACAATACCAAATCAGCCATTCTGTACTCCTTATAGAGTCACTTCTTACCGTCGCAGGGGATGCTTCAATGCCTGGAGGCTCTAACTTCAGCTTCCCGATCACAAAGTTCCTCAGCTCCCACACGTAAGCCCAAGGGTTGCCCTCGTGACACGTCACCACGTTGGCCCAATCGCGCTCCCGCACCTCAGCTGTTGGTTACATAAAGGGGGGGTACAGAGCGGTACAGAGGGGTGAGGGAGTGGCCCGATGACAAAGTTCCTCAGCTCTCACACGTAAGCCGAAGGGTTGCCCTCGTGACACGTCACCACCACGTTGGCCCAATCGCGCTCCTGCACCTCAGCTGGTGGTTTTAATAGGGGGAGTGCAGATAAAAACAAAGCAGTGAAGATGTCCGATAGGGGCAGTGCGGGAGTAGTTAAATAACAAATACTCACAGTGACCACTGACCTCATTGGCCCAATCACGCTTTCACACCACAGAGGGTGTATTTAAGGAGGGTAGTACAGTGCGGTGCGGTGCGGTACCGAGGGGTGCATAGGGGTGAAACTGCAGCACCCTAAACCAATAGCTCGATTGGCTCTCAAATGTCCGTGCTTACTTACCAGCATCGATGCAGACCACCTTGGAGAGCTTGAGCTTCTCCTCCTGTGAGTGAGAGGGGGGAGGAGGGAGGGCAGCGGAAGAAGGGAGAGGGATGCTTGCATCGGAGTCGGAGACCATTGGTTTATCAGCGTATATGCTGCCAGCCACCTTGGAGAACTTGAGCTTCTCCTCCTGTGGGCGAGAGGGGGGGAGGCAACGCAGAGGAGAAAGGGAGAGGAGGAGAGGAGCAGAGGAAGACAACGCTTCTCCCCCCACCTTTCACCTTCCCTCCCCCCTCACCTTCACATCCTCTTCTCGAAGCTGCCCTGCGATAACTCCCCACTTAAGTGCAGTCATCCCACCCAACCCCCCTTGGAGTCACTCCACCTTGGAGTCACTCCTAGCTCTGCATCTGACCCCCTTTCCTTCCACCCCTCACCTTGGCACTCATCTGCTTCATCCTCTGCTCAAAGTTGCAACCAACCCCCTTCATATGTCTCCCCCCCTTCCCTCCACCTTTCACATTCCCTCTCATCTGCTTCACCCGCTTCTCAAAGTTTCCCTGCGATAACTCCCGGCTCTGCATAGGTTGATTCCCCACCCACCCACTCGCATTATTCCCAGCTGCCCATGCACAGGGGTGCAGCCCTTTTGCCTCCCCCTCCTCACCTTCACTCTCATCTTCTTCATCCGCTTCTCAAAGTTGCCCTGCGATAACTCCCGGCTCTGCTGGTCCTGGACGGTTGAGAAGATACGGAAGCTTCTGTCGAGGCCGGCAGAGAGGATGTGGCGGCCGTTCCTGTAGTACCTGGTGCACATTGAAAGGGACGGAAATTGGGCAAAGGGAGTCTTGAATCTTGAGTCAGCTGTATGCGCGCCAAGGCTTGTCAACGCCAGCAGAGAGGATGTGACAGGCGCTACCGTAGTACCTGGTGGCAGATGCACAGTGAGTGGGACAGAAAAGGAGCAACAGGAGTCTTGAACCAACTCTATGCACGCCTGTCAAGGCAGAAAAATGCCTCTTTTTAGAGTTCTATCTAAAAAATGACCCAATCCAATCTAGCCGGTTTACCATTCCCACAGGTAACAGCGCTCACATATGCCAGGCAGGACAAAGGAGCCGCCGTGAAAGGCTTCGTGCTGATCCTGGTTAGTTTTGAGGCGTCTCAAAACTAGATGCTCAGGAAGGAGGGGATTGAAAGGGAAGGACAGCGGTTAACTAGTTTGCTTTTGAGACGTCTCAAAACTAAACTACTTCACCAACGAGCGAGGGGATACAAAAGGAAGGACGGGAACTCAAGGAAGGGGGCTGAGGATCTCATGGCACTTAGTGAGTGACGGCCAGCTTGCTCTGTAGACTACTCAGTTGATGCAGCAGGGCGGCTTGCTTTGTACTCACTTGATGCAGCAGGGCGGCGAGCTGTGTCCTGTGCGGTAGCGCAAGAGACGAGGGTTGTCGTCCACCGAATCAAATATCCAGATCTGATATCGAGAATCAGCGAATGGAGAGAAGATCAGTGAATAAGGGTAAAGGGAGGAAAGGCAACAAGGGGAGAGAAGGAAAGAAGGGGAGAGAAGGAAAGAAGGGGAGAGAAGGAAAGAAGGGGGAAGGGAGCCGGTGAAAAGAGGCAGGAAAGAGAGAGAAGAAGAGCCACTTGGGAGGTGACAGAGACAAAAACCTGGGAACCACTCCAGCAGACAAAAACCTGTTAACGGCTCCAGCAGGCAGCAGCAGGTGCTCGTAGGCGAGGAAGGAGAGGGCGGTACCAATATGGGCACGCAGCCATCATGGGCGTCTGGGGTGATGGAGTGCAGGAGACGCCCATGATGGCTAGAGAAAAATTGCCACGCACTCTGCGGCGCTTGGTGAGATGGACGAGGGAGACGAGGGAGAGGAGGGGGAGGAGGGTGAGGAGGGGGATATACCAATACCTACGTGTTGACACTAGGGCAGTCCCTACCTTGAGGCTGTTGTCTGCTCCAGCAGACAGCAGCAGGGGTCCATTTACGAGTCAGGAGAGGGCGGCCACGTGGCCATCATGGGTGTCGGGGAAGATGGAGCGAAGAGGGAGTGGATGGAGGGAGTGGAGGGAGATGAGGGAATGGAGGGGAGGGGAAGAAACTATACCACCCAGTACCTTGAGTCTGCTTTTGAGTCGACTCAAAAGGAGGGAATGGAGGGGAGGGAAAGAACTATACCACCCAGTACCTTGAGGCTGTTGTCTGCGCCAGCAGACAGTAGCAGGGGCTCGTTCACGAGAAAAGAGAGGGCGGCCACCCGGCCATCATGGGCGTCTGGGATGACGGAGTGCAGGCGGCGCTTGGTGAGGTCCCACACGCTGATGGCCCCGCCCATGCCGCCCACTGCCAGGAGGGGCTGGCCGTCTGACAGTTGAGGGGGAAGCAAAAAAGTGGGATGCAAGGAAGGAGCGAGAGGGTGGGAGCAAGTGGGTGGGAGCAAGTGGGTGGGAGCACAATAGGGAAGGCGGCGGTTGGAGAGGTCCCACACGCTGATTGCCCCGCCCATGCCGCCCACTGCCAGGAGCGGCTGACCGTCTGTTGAGAGGGGGGGAGAGGAGGAGAGTGGGACTGAAGCAGGGTGGGAGCACAATAGTGCAGGCGGCGGGTGGTGAGGTCCCACACGCTGATTGCCCCGCCCATGCCGCCCACTGCTAGCAGCGGCTGGCCGTCTGTTGCGGGGGGAGATGCGCGAAAAGCAGCAAAGGGAAGAGTACAGACAACGCGTCATATTCCAGCGCCATTTCTGCCACCTGAGTACGATCTCCAAGCCAACTAGAGGTAAAATTTGCTTAGTTATAGTGCTGCTACTATGTCGACCGCCAGGAATTTCTGTAAGCTGTATGAAATTGGAATTAAAAAGTATGCTCCTGAACCCCCTTACTTTCCCCCTCTTCCCCACCGAAATTTTAAACCCTGCCCGGATTTTTTTTAGCCTGCCCGAAGTGAGTGAAAGAACACTACTGGAGGCAATTTTTTAGGCGCCTCAAAAATGGAAGTGGGTGAAAGAACACTACTGGAGGCATCGGCTGGTGAGTTCCCAACTGCTGTCTTCCCCCCCCTCCCCCTCTCCCCCCATGCCCCCCTCTAAAGCACACTCCAAGAGCCGTGCACCCCACTGCCCTTGCACCTTGATGCCATCGCTGCACCCCATTGCCACTGTATCCAGAGCCGGGGATCCAACCATCGCAGCCCCCACTGCACCGCACCGCACTGCACTGCACTGCACCGCACCGCACTGCACTGCACTGCACCGCACTGCAGGAGAATACTGACCTGAGTTGAAGGCCAGTGCCGTCACAGCGCCAGCAGCAGCATGAGTAAAGTCCACCACTGGTTTATCCAGCCGTATGTTATGCACGTGCACCTTGCCATCGCTGCACCCCACTGCCACCGTGTCCAACGCAGGTGATCCCACCATCGCAGTTATCGGCACCCCCCACCCCTTGAACTCGTACAGAAGCTTCTGAGAATTTACGTTCCACAGCTGCATGCGCCCGTCTTCCGAGGCGAAAAGCACCTTGTTTAGGTAAGTGTCGGGGTGAATTACCCCGGTCGGATTGAACCCCTCGGGCAGCTGGAACTGCCCGAGAGGCTCCAGATGAAACGTCCCGTTGTCAGGCGCACCACCCTCCCCCTCTTCCTTCCCCACTCCACCCTCCTCTGCTGCCTCTCTACCCTCTTTCCCCTCCCTCCCCTTCCCTTCCTCCCCATCCCGCTTGGCTCCGTTCCTGTGCCCCCCTCTGGCCGGCCATATGACCACGTTCCTCTCCTCGTCCACCGATATCAAATACTCGCCAAACACCAGCAGCAGTCTGATCTTAGCCTCGTGGCCTTTCAGCGTTCCGACCTGTCAAAGCGAGGGGGGATGGGCGGGGAAGAGGACGATAGAACCACATCGCTTTCTGAGGCGCCTAAAAAATCAAAGCGAGGGGGGATGGGCGGGGAAGAGGACGATAGAACCACATCGCTTTCCTCCTCCACCGAGATTAGGCACTTGCCAAACGCGAGCAGCAGCTTGATCTTGGCCTCGTGTGCACTCAGTGTTCCAACCTGTAAGGGGAGGGGAGAAGGAGATGGCAGGTGCAGTTGGCCATAGAACCACATTGCTTTCCTCGTCCACCGAGATTAGGCACTCGCCAAACACTAACAGGAGTTTGATCTTGGCCTTGTGGTCTTTGAGAGTTCCGACCTGAAGGAACGAGGGGCACAGGGGTGGGTTAAAAACGAGGGGCACAGGGGTGGGTTAAAAACGAGGGGCACAGGGGTGGGTTAAAAACGAGGGGCACAGGGGTGGGTTAAAAACGAGGGGCACAGGGGTGGGTTAGGAACGAGGGCGAGGCGACAGCAACTTTGTTCGATTCCTATGCAAGCGACCTCATTTCACCACCTGGTGCGAGTCACAAGCAAGTTACTAACCCCACCCCCCACCCACGTGGTGCGAGCAAGCAACTTGTTTGTTCGTCCCCCCCCCCCCCCCACCCACCTGGTGCGAGCGGTAGAAGACGGCAATTTCGGAGCCAAAAGCAGCAAAGGTGCGATCGCGATGCGAGCATAGAGCGCGGATAGACTTTGGGAGCTCCGTTCCTGGCGGGGTTTTAGGGTTCGGCAGGAACAAAAAGAGGGTTTTAGATTTAGTGCATCTTGGAAACGGTTCCAGGTTTAAGGGCCGAGTGACATGAGGGGGTGCGACTTGATGGAGAGTGAGAAGAGAATAGCGAAGCCAAGCAAGAATAGAAATCATCATTCAGGGGGAAGCCTCGAGCGAGAGACTCACCGACGAAGACCAGGCGAAGCTTCGCGCACTGATCCCATCCAGAACGGTTTCACGACAGCGGGGGCGAAACGGGTTACGCGCAGCCGTCCAGGTCCAATTTCGCACGCATCAGATGACGAGAGAACGGGGGGTGGTGGGATATAGAAACAAGATAAACACAAACTTAATTTCGCGTAACGCACGGATGAACGAGGAAGAATCACATGAACCCTAGACGACACGAGTCTCGTACGTACGTTGTAAATCTGCCAGGCACGACCGACGCTAACGGTGACATACGTCTCGGTTCCCACACGCCGTACGGAGAACGGCGTGTCATCTGTGATGTACCCTATCGCCCTGAATGGTTGGAACAACGGCATGGCTGCTGGCTACCCCGCTGAAACGACGTCGAGTTGAACGCTATCGGGGCCTGGAAACTTAGCCAGCCTTAGTAAAGCTGAGCTGGCGCACTAGGCATGGTATATGGTGGCAATAGTAGCAACAGGGAGCGTATTCGTGACTAAATCCTCTGGCACCATCTGCACTAGGTTCTCCTAAACCTTGATCGCAACCCGCTAAAATGTGAGCTTTGAAGACACCCTAGAATGGAGCGACTGCAGTTATTTTCATAACGTTTGCCACACCCTTATAATTTCAGAATCAGGTGATCATAAAAAACAATTGCATTAGACTTTGTTATTTTTTATAGAATTTGAATCTGGAATTCTATAATGCACATGCTCTGTGCTGGAATAATTTTCGTACAATTTGTCGCTGATATCATTATTTCAACTAGAGGTTACTACTGGTATTGATGTGAAGAATCAAAGAAACAACGTACGAGGGAGCGCGTTAATAATAATCATTTTAGTGAATCTGGAAGATTTTTTTCAAGGGATCGGGTACTGCATGCATGCTAATATGCTTATGGTAAGTTCCTATCATTTGGTGGCTTCGTAGTATTTTGAAAGTCTCATGTACCAGATAAGGTGAACAGTCCATTGTTTGCAGATTGCTGCGAGCGTCCACATTGGAGCCTAGCTGTCCAGATTTTGCTGCCTGCCATGTCCGCGTCATCAAGTGTCTTTTCGAGGACCCGCATCTAGACCAGGCGGCATGGCGTCTGATTGGTTGATGGAGTTGCTGTCCAGCTTCACCGAACGAGATCAGCCTCGGGCCGGCTTGGAGAAGCGAATATCAAGCCTCGCCAGAAAATCCGAACCAGGCTTCATGACAGGCTAATGATTCCACGTCTGCACTGACATGGCGTTCGTACGCACTACGAGCAGCTCGTTTGCGTCGTCTCCTTCCAGCCAGCGATGCGTACAGCCATGGTGTGCGCCCAGGCCATTCTGCCAGACTAGCGTACAGTACGCTCTCTCCATGGATGAAACGGTCTTGGGTTTGCCCTCGTCCTCCCCAAACCAGATACAGTAGGCTCGCCCACCAACATTCACCACTCACACCCCTTGAGATGAGATTGCCAGAATTCTTGAGATTGCCGGATTTCTTGTTACTGCTGCACTCATCTCTTTTTTCAAGAATTGATTTCTAACACTGCTTTACACAGCTCACGACCAGCCTATCTTGCCTGATCCGGTCGTGATTTTCCGTCAATTCTGTCGTAATTCTAACATATTTTCGTCCCACCGCCATGGCGAGCTCCAACGAAACCAAGGGCCTTCGCCCGCCGTCGACCACGATTGCGACTGACATGACTCAGGCACGTCGCTTGCACGCAACGAGGCGGATTTATGTTTTTAATTTTCCCTTAAAAAACTTACTCATCCACTCCCCGTCAATTTATATTATTAATCTACCGTTTTTCGCCATTATATGATGCCTTTTTACTGGATTCATATGTATGTGTTTCTATTGCAGTTGGTGGGCAAGACCCCCATGGTGTACCTGAATAAGGTGACGGAGGGCTGTGTGGCCAACATCGCAGCCAAGCTGGAAATCATGGAGCCCTGCTGCAGCGTCAAAGACCGGTACGCCCTATATCGCGTATTTCATGTTTCCGTGACATTGGTGAGGCTTCGGATGATGTGCACACGTCTGCGTCGTTGTAATTCGTGATGTAGTGCGCGAGTGTGTGTGTTTTTTTCATATTCAGTAGTACTCAAAGCATAATTTTAGACGTTTAGGGGAGAGGGGTTACTCGTCGCCTGCTTGTAAATGTGTCAGTTTTTGTGCTCTGGTGTATCTGCCTTTCTCCCATATCGCCGTGAGCATGATCCCTGACGCTGAGGAGAGAGGGTCATCCCTCATCTGGGTGTAAACGTGTCTGCTTTTGTGCTCGTGCGTATCTGCTTTACCCCCCCGCCCCGCCCCTTCAGTATCGCCGTGAGCATGATCACGGACGCTGAGGAGAAGGGGCTCATCACTCCAGGCAAGGTATGGAGAGGTTAATAGAGGCACACTGCATACATCCATGGCTCGTTCAAACTTTGTGCTGAAGGCTACACTCGGTGCCACTCATATTCCGCTTTGTCGCCGCGGCCAGGGGCTACAAGCTCACTCTCACCATGCCCGCCTCCATGAGCCTCGAGCGCCGCGTGCTGCTGCGTCCAACCCACTCTCCCTTTCCCCACTCTCCCTTTCCCAATCTTCCCTCCTAGAACACCCTGGTGGAGCCCACCAGCGGCAACACGGGAATCGGGCTCGCCTTTGTTGCTGCAGCAAGAGGCTACAAGCTCACGCTCACCATGCCCGCCTCCATGAGCCTCGAGCGCCGCGTGCTGCTGCGCGCGTTCGGGGCGGACCTGGTGCTGACGGACCCTGCCAAGGGCATGAAGGGCGCGATCCAGAAGGCGGAGGAGCTTGTGGCGAGCACCGAAGGAGCCTATATGCTGCAGCAGTTTGAGAACCCTGCGAATCCCAAGGTGAGGAAGGGCGTTTGGGGCGGACCTGGTGCTGACGGACCCTGCCAAGGGCATGAAGGGCGCGATCCAGAAGGCGGAGGAGCTTGTGGCGAGCACCGAAGGAGCCTATATGCTGCAGCAGTTTGAGAACCCTGCGAATCCCAAGGTGAGGAAGGGCGTTTGGGGCGGACCTGGTGCTGACGGACCCCGCCAAGGGCATGAAGGGCGCGATCCAGAAGGCCGAGGAGCTTGTGGCCAGACGTGCAGGCGCTTAGATGCTGCAGCAGTTCGAAAACCCAGCTAACCCTAAGGGAGAGGAGTGTGTGTCAGGTGAGGTAATCCCAAGGTGAGAACCCGGCCAATCCCAAGGTGACGTGTGGGGCCGCGTGGGCCAAGGCAACCGAAACTGCACTTGAGGACGACGAGCCCTGAGCTCTGGGAGGGAATCCGCGGCCACGGCCGCGTTAGCTTTCTGGTGTGAGTCCACCTCCTCATTCCCATTCAGGTCTCACGGCCACGTGGACATTGTGATGCCACACCACTTTTCATTTCACTCAGTGTCTTGTCGCATTTCTTCTCTCCCCCTCTACCTCAGGTGCACTTTGAGACCACGGGACCTGAGATCTGGGAGGGCTCACACGGCCACGTGGACATTCTGGTGTCGGGGATCGGCACGGGCGGCACGGTCACGGGCGCTGGGCGGTTCCTCAGGAGCAAGAAGCCGGAAGTGAAGGTGAGAGGGGGGCTGTGGGTACGGGTGTGGTCAGTATTCTGGGTTAAGGGCGATGGGACATTTTAGTGTCGGGGATCAGCACAGGCAGCTCGGTCATGGGCGCTGGGCGGTTCCTCAGGAGCAAGAAGCCGGAAGTCAAGGTGAGAGGGGGGCTGTGGGTTATAAGGCTGCGAGCGATGTCAGTATAGCCAGTAGGGTTCAAGACGATGCCAGATTATAACTAGTTCGGGCGGCTCAACTAGTTCGGACGGCGTAGAAGCATTATAAGGACAGTGCGGCTTAACTAGTTAGGACGTGTGGAAGTATCAAAACACACATTCTCCATATCCGTTACTAGTTCATAAAGGGAGAACCTGCTAGAGCTTGCTGCGTTTGAAACCTGGAAAACTTATATTCCCTTCTCCCGTCTGCCCTGCGTGTGCAGCTAGTGGGAGTGGAGCCTAAGGAGAGCCCTGTTCTCTCAGGTGGAAAGCCAGGTGAGAACAACAGCACAGGTGGAACGCCAGGGGGAAAGAGCAGCACAGGTGGGTGTGAACAGCTGCCCAGGTGAAAAGCCAGGTGAGCCAGGGTGAAAAGCCAGGTTGGGCCATATGTGCCTTACGTCTATCAGTGTCTTGGGGTCTAGGGCCCTCATGTGTATTATTCTCGTCTCGGCACTCTGTATCCCAGGCCCACCAGATTCAGGGCATGGGAGCTGGTCGTGTGCCTGTCAAGTCGAATTAAAAACCCCCCATTTCTCCCTCCCTCCAATACTCCGTTTTCCCCCTCCCGTCCCTCCCAGGCCCGCACAAGATTCAGGGCATAGGAGCTGGTTTCGTGCCGGGAGTGCTGGACGTGGGGCTGCTGAGCGAGGTGGTGCAGGTGAGAGACGCTGTTACGCCTGACAGCCTGTGGAGCTGGTGAGTGAGTCTGCAATCGAGGTTCAACGCTAGTATGGGCAACTGTGGCGCTGGTGAGTGAGTCTGCAATCAAGGTTCAACGCTAGTTTGGGCAACTGTGGAGCTGGTGAGTGAGTCTGCAATCAAGGTTCAACGCTAGTATGGGCAACTGTGGAGCTGGTGAGTGAGTCTGCAATCAAGGTTCATCGCTAGTATGGGCAACTGTGGAGCTGGTGAGTGAGTCTGCAATCAAGGTTCAACGCTAGTATGGGCAACTGTGGAGCTGGTTTCGTGCCGGGGGTGCTGGATGCGGGGCTGCTGAGCTAGGTGGTGCAGGCGAATGAGGCATTAGAGATGTTCTAGGTTCAGTTATTTTGCCAATGAGTAAAGCATTCGCACTGTGAGGAGTTTCTGTTGTTATTTTTCTGTTTGATCGACCTGTCATTGGGAAGGTTTTATATGTCTCATGTGTCTCTGCTTTATAATTCTTTTACAAAACAAGCTGCAACCATGTCTTTCTACTCCCTCCCCCCCCCCTCCCCCCCCTCCTCCCTCTCTCCACCCCTCTCGCTCTCTTCCCTTTTCTCCTGTTCGACCCCTGAGCAGGTCTCCAGTGATGATGCAGTGGAGATGGCAAAGGAGCTCGCACAGAAGGAAGGGCTGCTGGTGAGTGCTTTTGAGATGGTATTGTGCTGTTGAGATGTAGTGAGTGACTGGGATTGCCTATGGAACAGGGCAGTAGTGGCACAGCAGTGGAAATGGCAAAGGAGCTCGCACAGAAGGAAGGGCTGCTGGTGAGTGCTGCTGAGAGGGATGCTGATGAGTGCTCTTGAGCTGTTGTGAGGCAGTGACTGGGATTGCCTACGAAGCAGGTCTTTGGTGCTGAGATGGCATGGAACTGGCTACGGAACAGGCCGCTAGTGAGTAGTGACGAAGCAGTGGAAACAGTTTTGAGGTGCCTCAAAACTTTTGAGGCGCCTCAAAAGCAGGTCTTTGGTGCTGAGATGGTATGGAACTGGCTACTGAACAGGCCGCTAGTGAGTAGTGACGAAGCAGTGGAAACAGCGAACCAGCTCGCTCAATTGGAAGGGCGGCTGGCGAGTGCCCGTCAGGTGGCGTTTCTCGGATTCGCCTTCGGGCTTCCACTTCCCCTATGCGATTCTGCTAGTGTCACATCGCCAGACGCAGCAGCAAGGCAGCCATTGGCCCTGCCTCCTCTTGTTCTGTGCTCCGCATATAATCTCCCAGCTCCCCCCATTTTCTCCCTACCCAGCTCTCACCTTGCCATCCAGGTGACCAATATATCAGAAGCAGCAGTGGTGGCAGGCTGCCTAGGCTTCCGTAGACACTGCCACTGGCAGCCTGTGGTTGCACAAGGAAGCATATCTTGTCCCTGTAGTCCCAACTTCCCCCACATGCTTCCTTCCAGTTTTGAGGCGCCTCAAAAACCGCGTGATAGGAGTCTAGTTTTGAGGCGCCTCAAAACTATACTCCTATCACGCGGTTTTTATACAGAGAGGAAGCATATCTTGTCCCTGTGTTCCCAACTTCCCCCACATGCTTCCTTCCACCTTTCAATATCCGCAGGTGGGCATATCATCCGGAGCAGCAGTGGTGGCACCCTCTGATTTCATCTGATGTTGTGTCTCTGCGTTCTCAACATCCCCCATCTGCATCCTTCCTTCCACCTTTCAATATCCGCAGGTGGGCATATCATCCGGAGCAGCAGTGGTGGCAGCAATTGAAGTGGCCAAGCGGCCAGAGAACGCAGGAAAGCTCATTGTGGTACGTTCAATGCTGGTACATCTGTCTCTCCTCTCTTCCATCCATGATGCCTTTGTTTTGGTGTTAGCTGCCACAGCCGCTAGAACGCTAACATTTGCTGTTGATCTGGCAGCATCATGGGCCCGATCTATCGGGCTCTCATCTGATGTGTTCTTCTTGTCTTTCCCCTCATCTCCTGCTTTGCGTGCTTGCCATTGCGTTGGTCCTCTAACCTCAAATCAGGTGGTGCTGCCTAGCTTTGGAGAGCGGTACCTTTCGTCTGTCCTCTTCTCTTCACTACGTGACGAAGCAGTGGCCATGCAGCATGCATGACAGCAATCAGTTGCAGTACATTCACTTTCGCCTATCGACTTTTGAGGCGCCTCAAAAGTCAATCAGTGTGCAGTACATTCACGTCCGCTTATCTATCATGTCCATGCATGGATGTCTAGTACCAGCAACACTTATCTATTCTGTATGGTTCGTGTTATGGTAGGTATATATGCCATCATGGTCAGTCATGTTGATCAGATTTATCGTTTTGGAAAGCCAGCAAGTAAGACCATAACCTTGTTGGAATTGGCGTGATGCAAACGTTCTCGTATTCACCAAACATCCAAAGGTGGCTACTGAGCTGACTATCTTCGCTGGGATGGGAGGCACCATGCCTACACTTGAACAGCTGATTTGCTTGCAGAAGTGAACACTCTACTACGGTAGTACTGAAACAAGGGCAACCCTTCAATGCATTCCGTGGAGTATCGTAAGCTTTAGTAGAAAGAGAACATGGAACATTCTGATACATCAATCAAGAAAAAACATACGGTAGGAATGAACAAATGTCCCATGACACATCCAGCCCACCATACAATACAACCTACTACAGTATCAGCCCACCATAAACCCACTCAGCCCACAATCAATCCAAATTCAGCCCACTTTCAGCCCACTATCAGCCCACCGAGTCAGCTCTTTACGGGAATTCCTGCACGGGCATCACCTTCCTGGCGCGGCCATACGCGGTATAAGCGCAGTCCACCGCAAGCACATCACTCGCCTCGTACGACCGGGGGGTCCCATCCAAGAACCCCTTCCCCTCGGCGGCATCGGCGGCGATCGGACGGTGCAGGCTCGCGATCAAGCGCTGGAAATCCGCGGCGCGCGCAGCGTGATCCGCGCGGTAGGTCTGCCCGAGCACGCCGTGAATCTCCTGCGTGTGCTCCAGCTCGGCAATCCCGACGTTGATGTGCGCCTCGGCCTCAGTCGGGGTCTGCAGCTTGGGATGCGCGACGCGCAGGCGCAGGTCGAGGGAAATCAGCCCGTCGATGGAGAGGAGGTAGTAATCCACGTCAAACGGACCTTCCTTCTCCAGCCCGCGAAATTCGATCGTCAGCCCGCCGGCGCTGGTAACCCTATCGCCGACCTGCATGCGAGGGATCGAGTCGCCGTCGATCTCGATGCTCTTCACGAACCCGTCGCCGCGCTCCTGCTGCTTGCCGCTGCGCGCCGCGATCCGAACCTTATGATCCGCACCCGCCGCAGTCCACACGATACCGAGCTCCTTAATCCACGTGTGCACCGCCTTCCCGTCGACCACAACCGCGGCGTTGTCGGCGGTCTTCTCGTCGTAATACCCCCTAAGAAGCATATTCACGTGGAGGTCGCGGTCCGTCAACAAGCAGAACGCCTTGTCGGGGCGGCCATTGAAGTCGAAGTGCGTGCCGTGCGCGCCCACCAAATGCGGGTCGTTGAGGATTTTCGCGCTCGGGTTGCACTCGCCGCCGATACGCACCTGAAGATGCACGGGCTTCGTCTCGGTGCTGTACTGCGCGGTCATTTCTCCGCAGGTGAAGTCAATTTGGTCGTGGATGAGGTAGCACGCGCCCTTGCCCTTCTTCCCGTCGATGGTAATATCGGGGATGTATTGCCAGTAGGTGCAGAGCGGTGTAGCGGCGCACGTGTTACAGCAAGACGCGGGGTTCGCCTTGAGCAGGGTCAGCGGGTTGCCAGGCACGTACAACTCGAAACCCAGCTTGTTCTTCTGCAGATACGCGGTTTTCCACTTTGCAGCGAATCCGCCCTTGGAGCAATTCTTCGGCGTGCACGCGCCCGCGAGCTCCTTGTTCAAACCGGGCGGGCATTTCTGCGCGTTCCACCCGGCCTTCTTCACATCAGCCATGAAAAACGTATCCTGTGCGGTATCGACGTATGTAACACCCTCCGCGTTACCAGCAGCGGCCTGTTTCGCGATGTCTTTCGGGATGTCAGTCATGAGCCCGTCGTCTTTCTTCCCGCTCGGGTCTGGCTTCTCGTTCGCGGAGGAGCTCGTAATCGGGCTACCAGCGCGCGCTGCGACGACGAGAAGCGCGAGGGAAAGCGCTAGAAGTGTGGGTCGAGCCATGGTGACAAGCTGTGAGGGCGAGAGGCAGTAGGCTGAGCTAGACTAATGTCTGCAGACTCAGAGAGGTCGGAAACAGGCGACGAATGCTTGCGTTTCTGCTTCACTTGTAACGATTCTAATTTGAGAGGCAAATTTATATCAGCAGCAGGTGCAGCCGATGCAGGGACAATTTCAGGGTGTAGTTCAGGATGCGTTGCTATTGCTGTGTGTGATTGGCTGAGTGACGCAGGCAGGCCCCGCCTGTGGCTGTACTGCTGCCAGACTATGCTAGGGGAGGCTGTTTCCCATGTCGTCGCAGTTCCGAGCCGCAGGATTTTTTTCAGAAATTTCAGCTGATCCAGACCTGAAATTTGGTTTTTCCAGAGCTCGCGCGGGTAATTGGCCATGTGCAGGTATCGCCTGTCGACGTCACACCTCCCTGGAATGATGGAATGTAAGGTCCCTAAATGTACAGCAACACAACGGCATTCATTTTACAATTAGATTTACCTTACATAACAACAATTGTGCCTTTTATCCAATTTATCACTCAGCCTACTCCACAAAACCATGGCACACGAGTAAACGCGATGCGTTGGCATGGCACGTTGAGCCCTGTTTTTATTGATGTGAAATTTACTTGCAAACGCCTGACAATGCGAGAGAAGACCACTATCATATCGTACATGAATTTCGAGGTTGCCCCTTCAGTCTCCCAGCTCTCACCCTGTTCCATACACCCATCACTCCATCGTCCTCCCCCTCCTCCCCTCTCCTCATCCGTCTCGCCATTCTCCTACCCCCCCTCCTACTCCCACCTTCTCCTACCTTTGGCGCCTCCCCCACTCCTCTCTCTCCTATCCTCCCACTCCTCCTGCCATTCCTCCCACATCTCCCGATCATCCTCCTTCTCTGCCTGCCTCTCCAAATTTTCCCACACACGCCTCCTTCGTTCCTCCTCAGCCTCCTCGTCCTCATATACCTCCTCCTGCTCCACCTCCTCCTCGTCTTCCTCCTCCCGCTCATCCCCCTCCCTTTGCCAAAGATACATATCCCATCCTCCCCTCTCCTCCTCCCCCCCCAGCCTCAACTGCCTCTCCCACCCATCGCCATCGTCATCATCATTGTCGTCGTCATCCTCCTCCTCTCCGCCCTCTCCCTCTTCTACTTCTGCCCCTCCTGGCATCCATGCTTCAACAGCAGCAACCAGGGCAGCAGCAGCAAAAATGGCAGCAACAAGTGCTACGCCCGTTGGGCCTTGGCTGCTGGCGGGATGGACAAGGGGGAAGGAGCGAGCCACAGAAGGGGATAGGCAGAGAAAGCTTTTGAGGAATGAGCGAGCCTCAAAAGCAAGGACGGACAAGGGGGAAGGAGCGAGCCACAAAGGGGATAGGAAGTCAAGAGGGGTTTGAAAGAACAGTGACGAAAGGAGAAGCTCTTTGATGGCCTATGCTCTTGCCTCACACACAGGAGTAATCTCCCCATTATTGAAGTCCATAAAAGTTTATTAAAGCCCGACCGGCCGGTTGCACATGAACACTGTTAGGTAGGTGAGACGGTCGGCAATGATTGGACAACCCAGGGGCAGAAGGACTCTCGCGAAACCGCGGATGCATGATGCAGTCGCAACAGAAATCAGAATTCCACATTTGGTCCTCCCAGTCTATCCAGAGCGGGCATCCCACCCCCCCCTCCCCCCCCTCGTTCCGAATCGCATCCAGCTAGTAGCTAAATCACCGAAACGAGCTGGGATGCGATGCTCCGCTGATGCTAGGTTGCCCTGGCCTCACCTCAGATGCGGGGATGCGCGCAGCAGCGGCCCAGACGGGATCCTGAGTACCGTTGCTGCCGCGACAGCAACAAAGGCAAGCCAGAGAATTGACATTGGAAAAAAGGTGTGAAATTCCAAGGAGTTTTCAAGAGCAGACGACGATAAGACTGATTCAGCATCTAGACGAGAAGAACAGCTTTGAGGACGCACATAAAAGACGAATGAGGGAATAGTGGTGGGAGGAGGGGGTGAGAACAGGGGGCGAGAACAGGGGGTGAGAACAGGGGGTGAGAATCGGATGATTGTGTTACAGGCGAAACTTGAATGTGCCCTAGGGTTCGTGAAAACCGAGCCGGATATTTTTAAGAATTCTCAGAAACACCCTGCAGTGGTCCGTAACCTGCGAGCTTGCAGTGGTCTGTAACCTCCGAGCCTAGGACTCCAATCGGAGGGTCACAACTTGGAAGCGGCGAATCGATCGGTTTCGTTCTCATAGGCTGTCGGTTTCTGAGCGTTATTTCATCTTGGCATGCAATTCGGCCCGGAAACGAGGAGAAAAAAGAGGTTAGGAAACGTTAGAGCTAACTCGTCTGTCGAACCTCGCCGAAAAGGAATAGTATCGAAGATTTCTGTAACCCGCCATGCCGCATCCATGCCACCAGTGGCGGCCTGCATGCAGGGCCAAGAGGGCTTTAGAGACATCTGAGCAAGAGTGCGGAACGCGAGGAATGCGAGATGAGCAGGGAAAACGAGGAAGGCAGAACATCTTCGAGATAAGCAGGGAAAACCGCACGCCATGGTCATCCAAGGTAAGGCTAGGCAAAGACGTGGGCGTGGCGAGGGCGTGACGCCAATGGTTTCGGGGTCTACTTTGTCGAGGACGTTTTGTGCGCTGTGGAACGTTTACGAACACATACTTGGCGTTTCTGTGCGTTTCGAGAAGGTGCAACAGTGTCTGTTCACGATGTGTCGCCGACACACTGGCGAAATGCTCCTTCCTTCACAGGGATCAGAGGTGAGATGAGATATTGACTTGTCCAGAGGTGTACAGTACGGTACAAATGCTTATTTTATACACTGCATATTCCAGTACAATTACAACCAAATTATGAGTCATATCCCCCCCCCCCACAACCCCCCCCCCCCCCCCCCCAAAAAAAGAAAAAGAAAAAGAAAAACCCAACCCCCACCAGAGGTCCCGAAACAAAAACCCTCATGTCATGAGCCTATTATTCCTGCTAATAATATTACCCCCAACCCCCCTCCTACTCCCACCTCCTACCTTCTGCACCTCCCCCCTCTCTTCTCTCCTCCCCCCTTGCTTCTTGCTCGTCTCCTCCCACCATTCCTACCACTCCTATCATTTCACATCACCCATGTTTAACTCCCATCGTATGCCGCTCTAGATTCTCCAAACTTGAGGATACACGATACACCCCTTGTACGTTTCTATGAAACTGGTCTAAATTGGTCTATATGGTCTAATTGATCTACCTCTATTGTCTAGAAAGACTATTCGCTTCTCCCGCTGGTTCTCCCGCCAGTCTCCGAGCTCCCACTCGTATTCCAACTCCCATCCATACTCCCTCTCCCATGGATACTCCCCCTCGTCTGACCCCGTTTCATCCTCCTCCCAATCCTCCTCCCAACCATCCTCTTCCCGCTCCAATCCTCCGCCTCCCCCTCCCCCCCCTCCCCCTCCTCCCCCTCCTCCCCTCCTCCTCTCCCTCCCCCCCCCCCTCCTCCCCTTCCTCCTCCCCATCCTCCTCCCGCCTCCCATCCCCCTCCTCCTCCCCATCCTCCTCCCGCCTCCCATCCCCCTCTTTCCTCATCCCACCTATACCCCCCCACACTCCACCTCTCCTCGCCCATGTCACAATCCTCCTCCCCCTCACCCTCCCCCTCCTCCTCACCCTCAAGCACTTCAGCGAAACCATGCATTTCCACTCCCCCTCCCCCCCCTCCTCCGCCTCCTCTCCCCCCTCTCCCCCCTCTCCCCCTCTCGCTCCTCTCCCTCCTCTCCCCCCTCTCCCCCTCTCCCTCCTCTCACTCCTCGCCCTCCTCCCCTTGAACCCCTCCCCCCCTCTGCACTCCCCTCACCAGCATCAGCCTCGTCCCCCCTATCCGTCACAACTACCCTTGGCGCCCTTTTCCTCTTAGGCCTCGCAAAAACCCCAACCCCCCCCCTCCCCCTTCCCCTGCCACTTCTCCCGTCTCTCCTGCCTCCCCCCTCTCCCCACCCACTGCTCCCCCTCCTCCTTCTCCTCCTCCCCCCTCGCCCCCTGTCTCTTCCCCCTCCTGCCCAGGTCGCCACTCCCGCCACTGCTTCCACTTCCCCTGCAGAATCAACCCCACTGCCCGATCCATCCCCATCTCTTTCAACCGCTCCCTATCCTCTGCTGTTATAAACCGGTACTCTCGCTTCTGCTGCCGTTCCATCACGAAGTGAGCTGCTTCGGCTGCTGCGGCAGCTTCCTCCCCCTGCTCCCTGTCCCACCGCGCACAGTAAAGATGCATCTTTAAGCCGAACCGTTTCTGGTGCGCGGGAGAAAGCGACAGCCGCACTTCCCACTTGTTGTATCGGAATGTCACACCGAAATATTTTGGCATCGGTTGGTGCTGCTGCCAACTCATGTCAGCCCTCAATTGCTGCTGCTGGTGCTGGTGCTGGTGCTGCTGATTTGTGTCAGCCTCAGTAACCTGCTGCTGCATATCTTGTCCAAGAGGAGACTGAGAGCCACCCGTATGAGCAGCAGCACCAGCACCAGTAGCAGCACCAGCAGCAGCACCAGCAGCTGCACCAGCAGCAGCACCAGCAGCAGCACCAGCAGCAGCACCAGTAGCACCAGCAGCACCAGTAGCACCACCAGCACCAGCAGCACCAGCAGCCGCACTTGAGAGAGGCGCCCTTAGAGCGGGCTCCGGCGTAGCAGGAGCAGACGGAGCAGACGGAGCAGAAGCAGCGGGCGGTTGAGAAGCAGCAGCAGTGGAGCCACGAGCGCGGACCGCAGCTCGGGGCACTCGGACAGGACGGGCAGCACGGGCAGGGCGAGAAACAGACCGAGGGTTCCGGGCAGGACGGGCAACACGGGCAGCAAGAGCAAGGGCTTTAACTGGGAATCCAGCTGCAACAGCATCACGAATCGCAGTAGATGCTGACCCGAATTCTAACCCCGCAGCAGCGGCAGCAGTGGCCTGTAATTCCTCCGCCTCCCCCCACCAGGGCCGCCACTCCCTCCACACCACCCACCGCTTCTTTTTGATAATTTCCGCCGCCTTACCCTTCCCCATCTCTCTCAACCGCTCCTTATCCCGCCCCGACAGGAAATAATACACCCGCTCCGCCGCCCCGCTCCTCCCCTCGCTCCCTGCTCCCGATCCCGCACCCTTCAGCACGAAATGCGCTGCTTCTGCTGCTGCTGCTGCTTCCTCCACCTGGTCCTTAGGCCACCTCCCGCAGTACCACTGGGTGCTGATACCAAACTGCTGCTGCTCGGCCTTGGTGGCTGTGAGGAATACCTGCCACCCGTTGCGGTACCAGGTGACCCCGAAGTAGCGGGTGGTGCAGGGCCACGCGGTGGAGGGCCGGGAGGGGGTGGATCGAGAGGGGGAGGGTGGAGAGGGTGTGGGTTGAGGGGGAGAGGGTTCAGGGAGGATGGAGTGAGGGGGGGTGGAGTGAGGTGGAGTGGGTTGAGGGGGAGTGGGTCGAGGGAGTGTGAGTAGAGGGGGAGTGGGCTGAGGGAGTGTAAGTAGCGGGGGAGTCGGTCGAGGGAGTGTGAGAAGAGGAGGAGTGGGTTGAGTTGGACTGTTGTGAGGCGGACTCGCTCCTGGGGAAAGGCTGGTTTGATGGAAGGGTTGGGTTTGGTGGGAAGGGTTGGTGGTCTGAGCAGAAACGACAATCTGATGGAGGGGATTGGTGCTGGGAGTGGGATTAGCTTGTCGCAGGCGTTCAGATGCCTGCTGGAAGGCTTGTAACGAGGCTTCATGGGAGGCTTCTAGGGGGGACAATGGCGAGCGCTCCTGGGAGGGACGGCGGGGAGTTGTAGACCTATTCGCACGCGAGGGTCTTTGGCGAGACGAGGGGGCAGCAGGGGAAGGGCCAGCAGGGGAAGGGCGTACAGCAGAAGGGCTGGCACGAGAAGCGCCAGCACGAGAAGCGCCAACAGCAGGAGGCCGAGGGAAAGTATAAGCAGCAGACACGACTGTAATAGGCAGTATTATGGTGCGCGTTGGGGTTTGGGAGGGGGCAGTTGAGGTGGGCGCAGCCGGCACAGCAGGCACACCAAGCACAGCAGTAGTATGCAAAGGGACGGCGTGTGAGGGGGTTTGGGATGGGGCAGTTGAGGTGGGCTCAGCAGGCGCAGCAGGCACAGCAGTAGTATGCAACGGGACGGTGTGTGAGGGGGTTTGGAATGGGGCTGTTGAGGAGGGGGTGGCAGATGGCAGGCGAAGCAACGGATGAGCGGATGGGGAGGAAGAAGAGGGGAGGAGCGCGAGAGGTGAAGCTGTAGCTGCAGTACCAGCTGTAGCTACAGTAACAGCTGTAGCTGCTGTAGCTCCAGAACCGGCTGTAGCTCCAGTGCCGGCTGTAGCCCCAGTGCCGGCTGTAGCTGCTGCCTCAGCTGTAGGCCCAGTGCCGGCTGTAGCTCCAGTGCCGGCTGTAGCTCCCCCAGTCTGACCGTGCAGCGCCCTGGTGATGAGGCTGTGCACGCGAATGAGATCCTCTTTCCCCATCGCCCCCAGATTCACCGCCTTTGTCACCATGCCCACAATGTCTCCTTCCCTTCTCCCCCCTCCTCCCCCTCCGCCCCCTGCTCCCCCTCCCCCCCTCCTCCCCCCCCTCCGCCTGCTCCCCCTCCTCCCCCTTCTCCCCCTCCTCCCCCTGCTCCCCCTTCCCCCCCTGCTCCCCCTCCATCCCCCCCTCCTCCTCCTCCCCCTCCTCCCCCACTCCCTCCTCCCTGATTCATCCTCCTCGTTTAAATGCACGAAGCTCTTGATAGGCAACAAGCAGACAGTAGCATAGCAGCAGCTCCTAAATCAACCCACGGTCCCTGTCTGCACCTCTTTCCTTAATCTGCCAATATCCGCTCCTTAGGAAAGGAACGGAAAGAGAATTGTGAATCTTCCGCCTGACTTTCTCGTATCTTCCTGCCACTACATCCCCTCCGTCTCACAAATGCTTCTATTTTCCTTCACATCTCACCACACAATCATGGCATAATTGATTTCCTCCAGTGCACCGTCTATTTTCTTGAGTAGGACTCCCGGCTTGATGCTCTTTCTCTTGCTCGCTCAGTCGTTTTTCCAAATACACTTATCCTGCTGTCAGTAAAAATGACAAGGAAAATCAGGGCGAACAGAGGAGACCATGTAAATCCGGGAAACTTAAGATAATAGTACTTAAAAAAAGGCTGGAACATAGCGTAACAACAGGCGAAGACAACAAGAAAAGCTACAGGCCTTGACCTGGATTCTACTAGAAGCAACAGGACGTCAGGACTGTCGCCAATTAAAGACGGCCGTCAGTCAGACAAGTCCGACAATGCACTTAAAGACTCGTCAAAGAAATCAGTGAGTCGTATTAGCCTTTTCTCAGCGAGACCTTCCAAAAAAGCCGCCGCCATTTACCGAAAATTTCACTAACAAAAGCATAGGTTTTGAATGCCGTGAAATATGCCTTACCACCTGTCCGTTGAGAGACTTCGGCGAGTTCCGCGTAAATGTACGTGACCCAATGTTGTTACGACTGGCACGGAGCGCTTAGCCACGCGGTGTCGCGAGCCGAAGAGCCAAGTGAAGATTCTGTAACCCTAGTGTAAGGCCTAATGCGCGCGGGCATTACAATAACTGTTAGGGCTCCTGTCGGCGTTACGCAGGTCTTGTGGAGTACGGCGATGGCAGATTAGGTATCAGTTTTGGCGAGGGTCAGTTGTAATGCGTTGCAGTGCAACATCCGTTCCTGAGATATCTGATGGCCATTTTGTTTCACCAAGGGGAAAGCAGGATGGATGGGAATTGTTGTAGGCGACGAAACGGGACGGGGAGGTATGGTACAGTGCAAAAGCCTTATCTACGGTAGAAAGGTTTTCATTACGATAACGAACAAACACCAGGATGGACATCGCTGTCTCTCCCTTCATTGTGCCCTCGAGCTTGTCTCGCCTCACTGTCAACTATGGCTGAGGTTCGACGAACACATCCGCCTTAAGCACAACCCTGATACACGAAGTCAGCCGCAAAGCCTAAAGCCAACCGCAAATTCATTGTTGATTTCCTTACACGAAGTTATGAGTTTACCTCAAAGCCCACGTTCACCTCCTATTATGTGTGTCGTTGAAGCAGTGATATGATATATTTATTTAATTTGAATTTTGTGATATTGCTTACATTGACCAGATGAGCTCAAGTCGTCGAGCACCATTAGGGCCACATCCCAATTCTATGCTCAACCTAGGCTTACAATGTGAGATACGGCTGGTGTTGCCTAGAAAACCGTGAAGTTGACACCTTACACGGAACCTGCCCATATCGAATACTAGAACCATGTGCCCAACCATTACCAGTAGTCTCAACACAGCCCATAGCTTTGCCAGAACGCGCACGCCATATTCACGCCTTCGGTTCGGGCCCTCTAGGTGAAAGCCGAGCCTCGCCGAGCCTCGCCAAGCCTCGCCAAGCCTGCATCATGCCGCGTCGATATTTCTATGATATCACCCTTTCCTCCCCGAACCAGGTTGAAACGAGGTTGATTTGGTGTCTTCCTTCTCCGAGATCACTTCTGCCTCGACTCGAAAGGTTGCGGCGATCGCACGCGGTGGATCCGTCTACCATGACGCCCTCTGTTCTCTCCTTTGAGGCGCCTCAAGAATTGTTTTCTCCTTTGAATACGGCAGGATGGCTACCGTGCATGCATGTGCGGCCAGCCGAACCGCCACCTTGCATGATTTTGGGCCGTATGGGGTCAATCCATTCGTGAGTTCGTGAACGTTTCGCGAACTCTGTTATTCCCTGTTACAGCGGCGCCCAACGCGACGACTGGTCGGACGTCGCGTTGCGCGGCGACGACTCGCGGCATTCGTCGCAACCTTGTCACCTCTCCGTTTTCCACCCATGATCCCCTAGTAGCCCGCTTATCACCAGTTCATTCCGTGTGTGCTTCGACGGATCCTCTCCTCTTCTCGCCTAGATGCTGGACCGGCGGCTATCAGTCTTGGTGCCGCTTTGCACTACTAGTAACGTCGAGGCTTAACTCCTCCCTCCACTTCCCTATCCCAGTTGTCTCGTGTGGCAATGCTGATTCTCTTGCTTTCCGGTCTGGCGTTGGCGTCGGTAGCTGTATTGGGTGTGCCGCCTTGGCTGCTGCGCTCGTCCCCGCACCTGAGGTCAGTCGAGCCGGAGCCTTCGGGAAGGCGAGTCACATCACGGTTCAATTTGCCTTCATTCAGGCAGGGAACGGTTGGAAGGAAGGGGGGTGGGGTGGGGGAGGCGAGTGCCGCGCTCGTCCCCGCACCTGAGATTGTCACAACTCGTTTGATAAGAACGGGGTAGGGAAGGGTGGAAAAGGGGGGAGGCGAGAGAGGGGGAAGGGGGGAGGGAGACGAGTGTCGCTGCACTCGTCCCCGCACCTGAGGTCGTCATCCCCTATCATCAAGATTCGTTTTCGTGCACAGTTACCACAGTAACTGTGTCATCCCCTATGGAGAATTCCAGACTTCTCTTTTGATCCGTACCTAAATCGTCAGCCCGGAACTTGCGTTGTGTGTGTGTGTGTGTGTGTGTGTGTGTGTGTGTGTGTGTGTGTGTGTGTGTGTGTGTGTGTGTGTGTGTGTGTGTGTGTGTGTGTGTGTTATAAGGTCCTGAACTATGCCTGATAGACATACAGAGGTAGAAGCCATGTGATATAAGGTTTGTTTTGAGTCGTCTTAAAACAAACCTTATATCTTGTGTGTGTGTGTGTTATAGGGTCCTGAACTCTGTCTGATAGACATACAGAGGTAGAATGTGTTGACTTCTTTGTTTGTCATCAGTGGCAGCCTGCTGCCTTCTGAGTTGACTATAAGGGGTCCGACGGCGACCACTCACCGGCATCAGCCATCAACCATCCGAGTTCTTATTAATTCTTTCTCTCCTACTCCCCCGCCGCCCCACCCCCTTTCCCCGCCCACCCTTCCCCCTGAAACAGGGCGGCGCTTCTTTCCCTCATTCGCTCCCCGAGCAGCCAAGGTCCCATCGGCGCCTCAGTCGGTGGCGCCATGGCTGGTGCTGCTGTCATTTTTGCTGCTGCTGCTGCTGCTGCTGCTGCTGCAGTATTGACGGCACCAAGGGTGGTAGAAGAGGGAGAGGGAGGAGGGGGGGAAAGGGTGGCGGTAGGAAGGGAGGGGAGGCGAGGAGGGATGGAAAGGGGAGAGAGGGAGGGAGAAAGAGGGGAGAGGGAAAGGAGGGGAGGTGGGGAGAGGGAGAGAGGAGAGAGGGGAAGGAGGAGGGAAGGAAGAGAGGGAGAGAGAAGAGGATTGGAACCATGCGTATTTCCCCCGGAAGGCGAGGTGTGCTGTGTGTGCCATGAGGGTTTTGCTCTTCCCACTCAAGCTAACTGCGGCCACTGGTTCTGCGGTGAGTGGCGTTTTCTGACGTTTTCTGGCAGGTTGACATGCAACTGTGATACTGATATGCTTCGAGGACAGCATGGCAGGCACCACATGTCACCACACATGGCATATCATCAGAAATATGCATCATGTACCATAAGAATGCATCACGTGCCATAAGAATTTATGTATGCACTATCTGTGCAGTGGAGTGCATCCTACGGGGGTGACACTACAGCTCAGCTTTTTTCCCCTGCGGCTGCAAGTGCCCGATGTGTCGTGTGCCTCGTGATGCCCCATCCAAGTGCTCCGTGTGCCCCATACGCCCCATGGTGTATGATGCATGTGAATGAATGCAGCGGAGTGCATCCTGAGGGTGTGGCATCACAGCTCAGACCTCCTCCCCTGCAAGTGCCCCATGTGCCGCCGCCCTATCACTCGCCTCATCCCCTTCCCTGCCCTTACTCCCACTACCAGTCCGCGTCATAATCACCCATCACTCATCACTCCCACCACCCGTGCACCTCCACCTGGTCAGCCCATGGGCGTTCAAACTCCCACCACTCCTTCCTCTCCTTCCTCTCCTTCCTCTCCTTCCTCTCCTTCCTCTCCTTCCTCTCCTTCCTCTCCTTCCTCTCCTTCCTCTCCTTCCTCTCCTTCCTCTCCTTCCTCTCCTTCCTCTCCTTCCTCTCCTTCCTCTCCTTCCTCTCCTTCCTCTCCTTCCTCTCCTTCCTCTCCTTCCTCTCCTTCCTCTCCTTCCTCTCCTTCCTCTCCTTCCTCTCCTTCCTCTCCTTCCTCTCCTTCCTCTCCTTCCTCTCCTTCCTCTCCTTCCTCTCCTTCCTCTCCTTCCTCTCCTTCCTCTCCTCCCTCTCTTTCCTTTCCTTCCTCTCCTTCCTCTCCTTCCTCTCCTTCCTCTCCTTCCTCTCCTTCCTCTCCTTCCTCTCCTTCCTCTCCTTCCTCTCCTTCCTCTCCTTCCTCTCCTTCCTCTCCTTCCTCTCCATCCCCAGCTCAAACGCTCACACCTCCTTCCTCCTCCTCTGGCGTTCAAACTCCGACCGCCCTGCCAGTAGGGCACCACCCCTCCCTTTCTCTGCCGCCGCTGCCCTCCCCTCAACCTACTGGGGCCTATTCCTTACAAACGACCGCGCTCCCTTCCCAGTTTCCTTCCCTGTCATCTTCACACATGCCTTTCCTGCCGCCCCGCCGTTCCACGTCTGTGCGTCGCGCCTCTGGATCTCCCCGGCAGCAGCTGGCAGAAGTGGCAGACGAAGTAGCAAGAGCAGTGGCAGCAGCAGAAGCAGCAGCAGCAGCAGCAGACGCAGGGGAAGCTGCAGCTGGAGCCGCCATATCAGCAGCAGCAGGAAGGGATGCAACAGCAGAAGCAACAGCAACAGCAACATCATCATCAGCAGCAGCAGCAGCAGCAGTAGCAGCAGCAGCAGCAGCAACAGCTGGAGCAACAATGACAGCATTGGGAAGGGTGGTGGTGGTAGCAGGAGCAGCAGAAACTAGCACTCCTGCTCATAGTCCTCCTGACTCTCTCTCTCGAGCAGGAGCAGCAGAAACCAGCTCTCCTGTTCATAGTCCTCCTGACTCCAGGCCTCCATCACCTCTCTCTCCCGAGCGGTCTCTTGAGCTCCTCTCAGGCATTGCAGGATACAACGAGCTCGTTCGGGCCTTGAATGTGCCGCTCTGGCAGGTAAATGGGCGATCAACCGGCATGCATGCGTGCGAGCGGTCTCTTGAGCTCCTCTCAGAAATTGCAGGATACAACGAGCTCGTTTCGGGCCTGGCATGTGCCGCGCGGCAGGTAGTAAGAGGGTAGGTCGAATGCGAATCACGGATGTTCATGCTTCTGGTGTGCACATGCGCTTGTGTACGCCTGTGTGCATATGATGGGTGGAAAGGGCAGGTACGAAGACTCCTCATGTACATGCCTGTGAATGTGCTTTTGCGCATGTGGAGTCTATTGTTGAGGCGCCTCAAAAATAGACTCCTCATGTACATACCTGTGAATGTGCTTTTGCACATGTGCTAGTGTTGATAAGCCAAGCGCGTATCTTGATCCTTGGGGCATTGCGCATGTGCATGTGCGTGTATTATGTGTGCTTGCAGTGGGTGGAAAGGGTAGGTACAAGGCTTGAAGTGTATCAGTGTGTGCCTGTGAGTGTGCTTTTGCGCATGTGCGAGTGTTGATAAGCCAAGCGCGTATATTGATCCTTGGGGCATTGCGCATGTGCATGTGCGTGTGTTATGTGCGCTTGCAGTGGGTGGAAAGGGTAGGTACAAGGCTTGAAGTGTATCAGTGTGTGCCTGTTATTGTGCTTTTGTGGAGAGGAGAGGAGGGGCGCTGGTGTCAATACCAGCAAGCTTGTGTCACACCTACCTCCTCCTCCCTTTCTCCCTCGCTTTCTCCTCCCCCCCCAGACCCCCCCCCACCGCCCGCCCCCCTCCCTCCCCTCCTTCCGCTTTAACGCCCTGCATTAGAGAGACTATCTCTCTGCAGTAGTCCCTGGGCCGAGGTTTGGCTTTGCTTTCTGTTGCCCCCCACTTTATATGTAGTCAATTCATTCCACTCACCCCCCCCCTTCCCTTTCCTGTGCGTAGTCTCAGGAGGAACAGCAGGATGAAGATGAAGAGGAGGAAGAGGCAGAGGAGGACGAGGAGGAGGAGGAAAGTGATGATGAGGAGGAGGAGGAGGAAAGTGATGAGGGGGAGGAAAGTGAAGACGAGGATGATGAGGACGACAGTGATGAGGAGGAGGAGGAGGTAGAGGAGGACGAGGGGGGGAGTTGGGTGAGGCAGGAGGTGGGGGAGGAGGGCGTAGGATGGGATAGGCTTCACTGGCAGGAGGAGGAGGAGGAAGAAACCCAGGAGGAGAGGGAGAAGCGGGAGTTGAAGACCCAGGAGAAAGAGGAGAAGGAGAGGCGGGAGGAGGAGGAGGAGAGGCGGAGGAGGCAGGAAGAGTTGGAGAGTGAGACAAAGCGGGAGGAGGAGGAGTGGGAGGAGCGGGAGGAGCTGCTGAGACGCCCGAGGCAGGAGAAGTGGGCAGACGAGGGGGGAGGCAGGAGGACAAGAAGTGGGAGGAGGAGAGGGAGAGGGAAAGAGGAGTGGGGGGAAGAGGAAGGGTGGTAGCTGGTGATATGGGGGGGGTGACAGGTCTGACTGGCAACAGCTGGCACAGGACAGGAGCTGTTACAGCTGGCTGACAGGAGCTGTGGTTTAGTTTAGGTGGTCTGCTGCAGATGTAGGAGTTGGGCTTGTGAAAATTTGGCATGTAAGAAGAAAGTAGGATATGCAATTCGCCAGATCTTTTGTGCTAGTTTTCTTTAGCTGTACTACTAGTAATTGTTAAAGTAGATACTAAGCAGTAGGCAGGAACAAGGCCGCCATGAATGTGGCGGCGGGGTTTAGCTAGGAGAGTAGGCGAGAGTGTCGAGAGAAAAGAGGGATTTGACTAGGAAGAGAGAGGAGTACAAGGAGGGGTTTGTACCCTCTACAGAAAGGTTCAGTAACAACCTACCAAGCCTATATCAAATTATAACTCATATAATTTTAACACACCCCCTAGGCTTGGTAGTGTCAAGCCCACTCACACCCCCACACCCACACCCACACCCACACCCCCTAGCCCAGCACCCCCATTCCCAGCAGGAGCCACAACGACTCCGGAAGTGGGCAGCTCCCACGGCCCTTGGGATGGCAATGGCGGCAGCAGCGACAGTGACGACAGCGGCGGCGGCGACGGCATGAACGTCAGAGGCTGGTGCAGCGGCCCCCGCCCTCTCGGCGGCATGTCCAGTCTCCTCGGCGGTGGGGAGGGCCCTCATGAGGCAGTCGTCGGCTGCAGCAAGGAGGTGGGGGATGCAGGGGAAGGAGGGGGAGGCGGGGGGGGGGGGGGAGGATCTGAATTTCAGCGATTCGCCATAAATGGCGCGACGCTTACTGGCGGGAGGGCGGCGACGCTGATGCAGCGGCGACGAGGCGGACGGGCGATGGCAGCACCACGAGCCCACGGCGGCATCTCGCAACGGCCATCACAGCGGCACGAAGACAAGAAGCCGCGACGGCGGCACAATAGCGGGAGGCCGCCACGGCGGCACAACGACAAGTGGCCGCCACGGCGGCAGGAAAATAAGGGGCCGCGACGGCGGCACAGGCACGGACGATTAAAGCACGCGGCGGAAGCGTGGGGAGCAGGCCCACAAACGGTCACCTGCTCTGATACCATGTTAAAGTAGATACTAAACAGTAGGCAGGTGTTAACGTGAGAAGGAATGATAACTAGAGATGGAAACCTAGAACAAATACTAGTTGGTTGTACTCACTAGAAGCATACCTTAGTCTAGCCTATAACTTCTACATAACTAATATGTATAAGTTGACACACCCCCTAGGCTAGACAAGGGGTGAAACTAAACAAGAAGCAAACATCTCAGGGCGGCACTACTAGTCCAACCACTAAGGCAGGAGTCTGGAGACCAGTCAGCAAGAATACAACCAAAACTAAAGCAAGCCAGGGTGGCACTACTAGTCCAGCCTCTGGAGGTAAGGCCACAAGGCCAGTCTGACAGGCATATATAATAGAGAGTACACAATCAGGATCCTAACAGGGGAGCAGCTACAGGAACAAGACCAAGCTGTACACAGTGCCGCTGATGATCTTTAGGCGCAAGCGCCTTAGTGAAGATATCAGCTGTGTTGGCACCAGAGGCCAAATGAACTACGCGGGCCTGGCGGCGCTGCTGTAGCTCGCGCAGGAGGAATGTCACAGGATCGAATGTCCCGAGGAAACGGTTTGCTCGATGTTGCACTATCATTCAGTACAAGGTGCTTTCATACTTCCAGAGTACATCAGGTAACCAGGTTTATCCTATCCAAAGGAAATAGACCCTTCTAGAAATAGAATCACCCCGCGTATAGCCACGCGAGGCTATTGGCTTTAAGGGATTACGGCAGGATTACGCTAGATATAACGCGCCAGTACATCCCGAGCCTGGTCGGTGATATAATTATAATAACAGGATAAACCAAAAGATAATGGCAAAGGAGGAATAGGAAACCAAATGAGATGAGATGAAGACCAAATGAATCAGGATAAAAAGAGGAATGAAATAGAAAAGAAATATGGAAAAGGGAAATTGGTGTAACGGGGTCGTACTCTCACAAGGAAGTACCGCAGCTGGATATGCTTCGCTCTGCCCTCAAGCCGAGGCTCCTGACACAGGAGTATCATGGCCCTGTTGTCAGCGTACATGACCGGGGCAGAGCTCGGCCGCTCACCTAAGTCAGTGAGCAAGAAGGTCAGCCAGCGGAGCTCCTGTGTCGCCATGGCACCAGCGTAGATCTCAGCCTCACAGCTAGACTGAGCCACAGACGATGAGCGAGTGGATCTCCAAGAGATAGCACCCGAACCAAGGCTAAAACAGTAGCCCTGAGACGACCTGAGCGTCTCAGCGTCGTCTGCCCAAGAAGCGTCTGTGTGCCCAGTAAGGACCACTGGCCTGCGTCCTCCTAGCACCAACCCCATGCCCGATGTACTAGCTAGATAACGCAAAACCCTCTTAGCGGCAGACCAGTGCTGAGGTCGGTGTCTGCCTGTGGCCACAAAGCGAGACAGGATGCTGAGAGGGTATGCGAGATCTGGGCGAGTGCAAGTCATCAGGTACATGAGGCAACCCACCAGCTCTGCGTAGGGGCCACTGGGCTCTACTGGCTCCTCAGGAACGGGAGCAGAGAGCCCATGGTCTACGGGTAGAGGTGTGGGCTGTGCGGAGGAGAACTCAAGACCGAACCTCTGAAAGACCTGACGCACCAAGTGTGACTGTGTCAGAGTGATGGTGCGTGCTGCTCTGTCCCTAGAGATCTGCAGGCCAAGATAGCGATGCAGCTCTCCAAGGTCAGTGCAGGTGTGTCTCTTCAATAGCTCGGCCTTCACGGAGGCCAGTGCATCCCTGTCAGCAGTAGCGAAGACCAGGTCGTCTACGTAGACAAGGTTGTAGAATGGAGTCTGGCCGGAACGCACAAACAGCGAGGGGTCAGCAGAGGACGGAAAGAACTGTAGGTCTACGAGCGTGGCACGCAGCGTGTCGTGCCACTCGCGGGGAGCCTGGCTCAGGCAGTAGACCGGGCGCCTGAGAAACCACTGGGTCCCAAGGGGGAAGGTACCAGTGAAGCCCTGTGGTCGGCGCAGATAGACCTGCTCGTGTAGGCTGCCCTGAAGAAAGGCAGTAGAGAAGTCGAGGGAGTGAAGCTCGTAGTCACGCTGTGCTGCTACGTGTAGCAGCGCCCGAAGAGTGGTCATCTTCGGGGTCGAGGCGAAGGTCTGGAAGAAGTCAACCCCCTCTCGCTGACTAAAACCTCTGGCCATGTAGCGCGCCTTGAAGACAAGCGGCTCTCCAGGGGGGCGCTTTTCCTTGAAGAGCCACCGACCATCGACTACGTTCACCCCATGCGGGGGAACTGCGTCGACATAAGTGCCGGTGGACCTCCAAGATGCCATCTCCTGCTCCATGGCAGCTATCCACTGAGAGGCCCAAGGTCCCGAGGTGGCCTCAGCGTAGGTGCGAGGGGTCAGGATGTCGAAGGCGTCTGGGTCACCCTCAAGGACTAACAGCATGGAGCAGAGATGGGGAGCAGCCTCGGAAAGGAAAGCAAGCTCGTACTGCCGGTCCTCTAGGACGTCACTGCCAAGGGCAGGAGCTCCCCTGACGGACGGAGGACGGGCAGGGTCAGAGACCAAAGTGGTAGCGTAGTCAAGGCGGCGGGTAGAGGCGAAGTCAGCGACAGCAGCGACAAGCGCGTCAAGGCGCGAGACAGGAAATGCGGTGTCGGTAACAAGAGAGGCAAGGACCCGAGGGACAAGGGGACGAGCAGCACGGAGGTAGTCAGAGAACGGAGGAGGGGCAACAGCAAGGGACGAGGGAGGAGGGGACAGGAGGAGGGGAGGACGAGACGAGCGGGAACGGAGCAACATAGGGTGGGTGGGCAGGAGAGGAGAGACGGGACGAGCACGGGAGGGACGACGAGCCCAAACGTGAGACGGAGGGGTAGGGTCAGGGGACAGCGGAGGAGACACAGGAGGGGAACGAGGAGGAAGATGGGCCGGAGACGAGTCCGGCAGCGGGAACACAGGACCGTAGACAGGGAGGTCAGCAGGCGGTGGGGGAGACACCGTCGCGTGGTCCGGGGAGGGAAGGCCGAGCAGGCGGAGAGCGGAGACCGGCGGCGACGGCTGCTTCGGCGGCGACGAGGGCTGGGCCGAGACTCTCGGACCAGCAGAGGCAGAACGACCGTCGGCAGAACACTCAACAGCAGCACCCCCAGAACCAACACCCCCAGAGCGAGAACTCCCGCCAACACCAGCGGCACCCCCAGAAGCCGCAGGACGAACACCCTCCTCCACACCAGCACCCCCAGGGGCCAAGAGCGGCGGCGGCAGTGGCGGCGGCGACGGCTGCGGCGGCGGCGACAGCGGCGACGGCCGCGGCGGCGACGGTGGCGGCGGCTGCAGCGGGGTCGGCGACTGCGATAGTGGGGGCGGAGGCACTGGGGAAAGGGGACGCGGCAAGTACAGACCGGGGGTACCACCAGAGTCAGCTGACTCCTCAACGGGGATAACCGACGGGAGGGGAGCGACGTGAGAGACACCAGACGGGGCAGGACGAGGCAGGACAGGGGCAGGGGCTACCGGGGGAGAGGGAGCAAGGAACAAGGGGGGGGCAACTGGGAGACCCCGGTGAGGGAAGCGGCGGTAGAAGGAGACGGACTCGTCAAATGTGACGTCACGAGAGTGGAGGAAGCGGTGAGACGGTGGGTGGTAGAAAAGCCAGTCAGACGAGTCCAGGGGGAAACCGAGGAAGACACAGGGGACAGTGCGGGCAGTGAGCTTGTCCGTGCCATAGGCACGAACGTGAGCAAGGCAGCCCCAGACGTGGAACGCAGACGCGTCACCGGGGGACCCGGTCCAAAGGAGGGTCGGCGAAACCTGCGGCCGCTGGGAGCGTGGCCACAAGTTAAGCTGGTGAGCAGCGTAGCGAACGGTGAACGGCCACAGAAAATGGGGGGCATCAGCATGGATCATGGAGGTACGGGCGACCTCCATGACCACGCCGATGCGGCGCTCAGCAACCCCATTCTGCTGTGGCGAGTCCGGCAAGGTGTACGACTGGGTGATGCCCTCCGCACGACAGAACTGTCCAAGCCGACCAGAGGTGAACTCGCCGCCATGGTCGGAGTGGAGACACAACACGGGGAGACCGCGGTGGAAACGCGCAGCCACAACCCACGGGAGAAGAACGTTGGGCACGTCGGCCTTCCGCTCCAGGGGAAACACCGTGGTGTAGCGCGTTTAGTCGTCGACGAGCACAAGGAAGTAGCGCTCACCGCGCGGTCCGGGGACGGGGGCAGGGCCCCAAACGTCCAGGTGCAGGGTCTGAAGGGGGGCAGTAGCAGGGCTCAGCGAGGAGGAATGAGGAGCACGGCGGAGCCGACCCTCGACGCACGGCGTGCACGGTGGCGCAGTCGAGGGAGGAAGTGCAGGGAGCGACGCGGGGAGACCTAAGACAAGGCTGTGCTGGGACATGTGACGCAGACGCGGGAGAGCAGGGTGACCTAAGTGGTGGTGCCACATAAGGGACGGGTGAGTGAGGGACCGACACGAGCAAGCTGCAGCGACCTGGGAGGACGCACGAACCGGGGGGGAAGCGGTGTTGAGGGTAAACAGACCGGACATCGGGTCCCGGGGGAACGTCGCAAGGGGGGAACCTGAGACAGCCTCAGAACAGACAGCGAACCGCTCGTGATCGGGGAACGTGGTGGTGACGCCGAGGTCCTGGAGACAGCCGACACCAACCAGGTTCCTGGAGAACGAGGGAACGTGGAGGCCAGTAAGGGAGCCCGAGGGAACTGCTGGACAGGGTAGGGACGTAGAACTGCGCGCGACGACAAGACCCGCAGAGGGGTCAGCGAGAGAGACAGCAGGTGCAGCAAGCGGCGTGAGCGTGGACCGGTCGCGGAAGAAGCACGCAGAAGCACCGGAGTCGAGAGTGAAGGACAGCGACGCAATGGCGGAGGCCGGGGACGGAGCCGGTGCAGCGACTAGACTAGGCAACCTAGGCAGTCCTACGCCTGACGCAGCAGGGGAGGCTAAGCTACACAGTGGTGCAACACCTAAACTAGAGTACACAGGGTAATAAGGTCCAGCAAAACTAGAAGCGTCAGAATACAAAGCATGCAAAGCAGCACCTATCTGATCCATGTCTAACTCAAAGATCGGCACGCCCTGGCGGAGCAGGCTGTGCCAGTCGGGGAGGTCCGGGGCCGGGCCAAAGCGACGACGAAAGAGTTCGTCGAGGCGGCGGAAACAGCGGGCGGTCGGGTGTGGGCGGCAGCACAGAGTGCCGCGAAGAGGCCCGGTCTGAAGCTGGTACTGGCAGGTGACAGCACCGGAGCCGCCGGTAGACGCTAAGCTGCGCGGGCCGCCACCACGGCCACTACCTCCGGAGGTGCCGGGCCAACCAGGCGGGAGACGGGCCCACTGCTGCGGCGACTGCTGCTGGGACGGTGACTGCTGCTAGGGCGGCGGCTGCGGCTTGGGCTGCTCCTGCTGCGGCTGGGGCTGCTGCTCCTGCCCACCAGTGGTAGTCCCCGCAGGCGGACTACCGTAACCACCACTAGCGCCACCACCCCTACCTCCCTGGCGACCATGGCCACCGCGGCGCGAGCACTGTTGCGGGTGGACCGCACCAGCCGTCTCGGTGAGAGGGGCCGCCGAGGCGACCGCAGCCGAAACGTCAGTGAACGTACACTGGGAGGGGGCACAACCGTGAAAGATAGAAAGTGCCGGCGCAACGCTCGACTGAGCGATAGTGCGCTTGCGAGTCTCGATCTCTGTGAGGGTATTGACAAAGGCAGTGAGGGTGAGGTCACCCGGGTGCTGGCTAAGGAAGTGATCGCGAGCACTAGCGAGGCGGTCTGGCAGGCGCATGGCAATAAAATAGAGCGTCCTGCAGAAAGGGGGGGGGAGCGTAGTGAGCTGGGCAGCAGTGCTGGCAGTGCGATAGCGGGTCTCTAGGGTACGTAGGTGAGTGGCAAAGTCTGCGACGGTAGGGAAAGCTGCAAGGTCTGGGAAAAGCATAGGGAAGAGCAGGCGACCAGCAGAAGCAGACGCGGGTGTGGAATAGCGAGCAATAACAGCGTCTAAGTAAGCTTTGGCCGTCTCAATGATAGCAAAACGCGAGCGCTCAGAGACAGGGAGGGCGTGGCTAATGGCAACCTGAGCGACTGCATCGCGGGAGTCCCATACCGCACGGGCAAGCGCAGCAGTAGATAAGGTCTCACGGTCATCAGAGGAGGGATCAGTAGGGAGGGGAGCAAGTGCGGGGGGGCGGGGGAGCAAGCCGTCTACATGGACAACCAAGGAGTGGCCATCCTGGCGCTGACCTGTAAGGTGGCGGCGGAGATCGGAGAGCCAGGCGGCGAAGTCAACCGCATGGCCCTCGGCGTCCAGTCGGAGCACGAAGTCCGCCATCGTGCACGGTCAGCGGCACAGCTCCACAGGAACACAGCGACAGCCCCCTCCAGCATGGCGGCCGCGAAACGCCTCAGCACGAGCGAGCAGAGGAGACGGAGCCCGAGGCGGCTCGGCAGGACGAGCCGGGTCGAAGGGGCCAGGCATGTGCGGTGGGGCCAGGCAGGTGCTGGCGGGGCCAGGCAGGCGCGGCGGGGCCAGGCAGGCGCGGCGGGGCCAGGCAGGCGCGGCGGGGCCAGGCAGGTGCGGCGGGGCCAGGCAGGCGCGGCGGGGCCAGGCAGGCGCGGCGGGGCCAGGCAGGCGCGGCGGGGCCAGGCAGGCGCGGCGAGGCGAGGCAGGCGCGGCGGGGCCAGGCAAGGCGCGGCGGTGCCAGGCAGGCGCGGCAGGGCCAGGCAGGTGCGGAGGGGCCAGGCAGGCGCGGCGGGGCCAGGCAGGCCGCGGCGGGGCCAGGCGGGCGCGACGGGGCCAGGCAGGCGCGTCAGGGCCAGGCAGGGGCAGCGGGGCCAGACAGGCGCGGCGGGGCCAAGAAGGCGCGGCAGGGCCAGGGAGGCGCGGCGGGGCCAGGCAGGCGCGACGGGGCCAGGCAGGGCGCGACGGGGCTAAGCAGGGCGCGACGGGGCCAGACGGGCGCGACGGAGCCAGGCAGGGCGCGACGGGGCCAGGCAGGGCGCGAAGGGGCTAGGCAGGGCACGACGGGGCCAGGCAGGGCGCGACGGGGCCCAGGAGGTGCGCGACAGGGCGAGGGGGCGCGACGAGGCTAGGGTGGCGCGACGGGGCCCAGGAGGGGCGCGATAGGGCTAGGAGGCGCGACGGGGCCCAGGAGGGGCGCGACAGGGCTAGGGTGGCGTGACGGGGCTAGGATGGTGCGACGGGTCCCAGGAGGGGCGCGACAGGGCTAGGGTGGCACGACGGGGCTAGGGTGGCGCGACGGGGCCCAGGAGGGGCGCGACGGGGCTAGGAGGGCGCGACGGGGCCCAGGAGGGGCGCGATAGGGCTAGGGTGGCGCGACGGGGCTAGGGTGGCGCGACGGGGCTAGGGTGGCGCGACGGGGCCCAGGAGGGGCGCGACGTGGCTAGGAGGCGCGACAAGGCCTAGCTAGGGTACAGGCGGAAACGGTAGGTGGGGGATGCTAACCTACGCGTGATACCATGTTAACGTGAGAAGGAATGATAACTAGAGGTGGAAACCTAGAACAAATACTAGTTGGTTGTAGTCACTAGAAGCATACCTCAGTCTAGCCTATAACTTCTACATAGCTAATATGTATAAGTTGACAGCAGGAACAAGGCCGCCATGAATGTGGCGGCGGGGTTTAGCCAGGAGAGTAGGCGAGAGTGTCGAGAGAAAAGAGGGATTTGACTAGGAAGAGAGAGGAGTATAAGGAGGGGTTTGTACCCTCTACAGAAAGGTTCAGTAACAATCTACCAAGCCTAGATCAAATTATAACTCATATAATTTTAGCAGTAATTCCTTGTGGTGCGTAGCACCTTCTAGTGTACATAAAGGAATAGCAATTTAGCTGTCATAACCTGGTCCAGTGTTGGAGTAATTTTTTTAAATTTACTAGCATTGCGTGCTCTAGTTGCATATAGCGAGAATATGCCATTCAAATGACAATGAAGACGCTTTCATATACGGGGAGGAGCCTTTTTCTCGAGGGCGTAACAAAGTGCCTTTTCTCGCAAGTTTGTTACACCTTCGCCAAGGTCCCAAGCTCGTAGAAGCCGTAGAGCAGCCCCAACGGAGACGCTCCGTGCACAAAGCAACCCACAGCTTTCTGGATTCTCTACCAAGCCAAGTTCTGGAAAGGCTGCATGCTGCGTGCCATTCCGCTGCGTAGCTAGGTAGGAGGCGACTTTAGGAGGTTCCCTCGTATGACAGCGTCGACTCGATCGAGGTTTCTGCTCTTGAAAGTCGGGCGCCTCTCGCTGCTATCTTCCGGGTTTGCGTCGTTTCCCCCATAGAGCCGCTCCTCGCTGCCTTATCATGAAGAATTTTCTTCCCGCTTCCGTGTCGTCCTCCATCAGTGTTATAACGAAACTAGTTTAGTAACGAAGCTGTTCCCACATCTCGCGGTCACGGTCACGGAAACTGCGAGAGCAAATTCGTCATATCCTTCGCTTTCTACTACGTGGCACATGGCACATCTCGCCTCTCGTTGACGTGCCTAAACACCTCCACCTATGGCGTGCACACGTAGCATATGAAATTCATATGAGGTGGCTTTTGAGTCGACTCATAAGTCTTCTCCCCTCTCGTTGGGGTGCGTAAACTCTTCCATATGGCATGCACGTAGCATATGAAATCTATATGCTACTCCGCTAGGCGGCCTCCTGTTTTCGTTTCCCATTGAGATCACGCGGATTTAGTCTACTGTTCTAGTAGTAATGAGCCTGTTTTTTAGTCGAGTCAAAAACAGACTCATTACACACGGATTAAGTCTACGGTTCTAGTATAGTATATTTCCTTTCGTCGAGCTGCTTTCATGCCGCTGGTGCACGGTGTGGGGGACGAGGTGCTGTGCGCGTTAATAGCAGTCTTCGGTATCCCGCTGTGGCTGCTGCGCTCCTCTCCACACCTAAGGTTGGTAAATTCTCACTTTGTTTGGATTGGGGAAATTCAGCAGAATCTTCACACGGCGTGAACCTGTTCAAGCTTCCAGGCGTTGACGTCCGTTTTATCCGCATTTTTGTTCTAGGCTCCAATATCTCACAAGCCGCACCACCCTGACTACAAGAATAAATTAATTAAGAAAAATTAACGTTCTCTTTCTTCACTGTTGGCCATCCTCATTTCCTGCAGGGTGTCTCTTCTCTCACTTTTCCGTTCCGCGCCACCCAACACCACTACTACTGCTTCTATCATCAACAGATATAGTAGCATCAACAGCCAGACTCTTAGCGGTGCCACAATCTCTGCTGGTGTTGCACCTGGCGCTACAGTTACTGCAGGTGCAAACCAGAATACCCTGCAAGCCTTTGCTGCTGCCGAATCTCAGCCGCTAAGGAGGATAGCCGGAGGAGAGGCAGGAGAGGTTGGTTCGCCAGGAGGGGTTGGTTTGGCAAGTGGGGTTGGTTCGGCACACGGAGCTGATTCGGCAGAAGGGGTTGGAATGGCAGGTGGAGGTTCGGATCCGAGTCCTCCGGAGGGCGAGATGTGCTGTGTGTGCCACGATGGGTTTGCGCTGCCCACCCAAGCCAACTGCGGCCACTGGTTCTGTGGTGAGTCAATAGAGTCAACGCCAGTCAACGCCAGTCAACAGGAGTATCTCCTCCGGACGGAGAGATGTTCTGGGTGTGCCACGGTGGGTTCACCCAGCCCACGCAGGCCAACTGCGGCCACTGGTTCTGTGGTGAGTCAACGCTGGTCAATGCCAGTCAACGCTGGTAAATATGAGTCAACAGAGGGCGAGACATGCTGTGTGTGCCACGATGGTTCGCTTCGCCCTGCCCACCCAGGCCAACTGCGGCCACGGTTCTGCAGTGAGTAAGTCAATTGGGTCAACTGGTCAACATTGAGGTCAACAGCAGTAAACAGCAGTCAACAGAGGGCGAAACATGCTGTGTGTGCCACAATGGGTTCGCCCTGCCCACCCAGGCTAACTGCGGCCACTGGTTCTGCGGTGAGTCAACTCCAATCAACGCTGGTCAACACTGGTCGACTGGTCAACACTGGTCAACAGGAGTCAACAGAAGTCAACGGGTTTAATCCATATGCCCTCATCTGCCCCATGCATGCAGCGAAATGCGTCCTGTGGGTGTGGCACCACAGCTCAGCGCTCGTCCCCTGCAAGTGCCCCATGTCCCTGATATTGACTCATTTTCCCCCTTGTATCATGCATCGTTTGCAGCCGAATGCATTCTGCGCGTGTGGCACCATAGCTCAGCGCTCGTCCCCTGCAAGTGCCCCATCTGCCGTCGCACCATCACCCTCCTCCTGCCCTCCCAGTCAGTCCAACCATCGCGGCCCATCCAGCCATTGCTGCCCACACTTGCCAATTCCATGGGGATCCAAGAGCAGCAGCAGCAGCAGCAGCAAGACCAGCAGCAGCAAGAGCAGCAAGAGCAGCAGCAGCAGCAACAGCACATGCCAGAATCCCTGAGGTTCAGGGGCAGCAGGGGGGAAGCAGGAGACACCCCCTCGCCAGGAGGAGGAGCAGAGGCACGAGAAGCAAGAGGAGCAGGAGAAGCAAGAGGAGACACGATTGGGGAAGCAGGGGAAGCAGCAGCACCAGCAGCACCAGCAGCACCAGCAGCACCAGCAGCAGCATCAACACACACTGCTTCTCCTGAGCAATCTGAATCGGATCGTCCATCCAATCTTTCTCCAGAGCAGTCTGAGTCTGACCAGTCCCTCCCTCTCTCCCAAGAGCAAACCCTAGAGCTTCTGAGGGAGGTTGCGAGATACAACCGGCTCTTTGGAGGGGTGCCTGTGTCGCTGTGGCAGGTAATGATTTTACATGTGGTGTTACACGTGGTGATTGAAGGTGAAGTCTGAGTCCGACCGGTCCCTCCCACTCTCCCAGGCGCAAACGCTTGAGCTTCTGAGGGAGGTTGCGAGATACAGCCGGCTCATTGGAGGGGTGCCTGTGTCTCTCTGGCAGGTTAGTGTCAAGCATGGTGCCAAGGTGTGTGTTACCAGGGGATGGCATGTTTCTGGAGACAGGTCGTCCTGAGCTTCTGAGGGAGGTTGCGAGATGCAACCGGCTCTTTGGACGGGTGCTTGTGTCACTGTGGCAGGTGCTGTTGTTACACGCGTGTTACCAGGTGTGTTACCAGGTGTGTTACCAGGTGTCTTGCAAGGTGAATATTGGTTTACAAGTTTCGACACTACAGCCGGCTCTTTGGAGGGGTGCCTGCGCTGCTGTGGCAGGTGAATATTCATATCTCTCGACATGCCTCTCCTGCTCTTACGACTCAACTCACCACGGTCCTTTCCACTCTCCCCATCCCTCTCCCCATCCCTCTCCTCGATCCGTTGTTCGCATCCCCCCCTCTTTCCTCCCCCCCCCCCCAACCCCTCCCTCTTCCAGCGCATTATGGACATGCCTCTGCTGCTCTCTCGGCTCGGTCGTGACCTCTTGGACCCTCTGAGGGCCCTTCGCTCGCTGCTCAATGTGTGAATGGTGTCCTGCCCCCTCCCCACCCCCCGCACCCCCAAACCCCCCAACCTCCCAACATCCCCCAGCGCATTCTGGACATGCCTCTGCTGCTCTCTCGGCTTGGTCGAGACCTCTCGGACCCTCTGAGGGCGCTTCGTTTGCTGCACAATGCGCGCATGGTGTTCTGTGTGAGTCAAAAGCAGACATGGGCATCCACGCCTCACTAGACCTCACTAGTGTTTGTGAGTTGATCTATGGATCTACGCCGCACTAGACCTCTCCGGCCCTCTGAGGGCCTTTCGCTTGCTGCACAATGTGCGCATGGTCTTCTGTGTAAGTTTTGGATGGGGGCTACTGTATGGGTTTCAAATCGCTTCGAAATACACTTCTCCAACATTCTAAGGGTCCTTTGCCTGCTGCAGAATGTGCAAATGGTATTCCCTGTAATGATGTCCTTCTAATTTGAAACTGGACGCTGCTCCATGAGAGTTCTCACAGCATTTCCCCCTCTTCAATCATTTCCCCCATCATAATCACATCCATCTGTGTTCATTTGTGCTTCAACCTGTCGCCCCCTTCTATCAATGCAACCTCTTGCCCCGCTCATTGCCACTTTTCACCCCATCACCCCACGTTTTATCAATTCTGCAGGTGTCCATTGTGTTCGTCTATGTTCTCTCGCCGTTTGACCTCATTCCAGAATGTAAGCTGTGCCGCATCTTTCAGGAGTCCGTGCCTTCTTTTTTCCCTCTTTTTTTTTTTTTTTTTTTCTTCTTCTTCTTCTGAACTCTTCTCAAATTGTACAAAGTCGTCCTTTCTTGCATCCTTGCCTTTCTTGCCTTCCTGCTCTCCCTGCTCCCTCTTCCCCAGCTTATTGCGGGAATTGTTGGCCGTTTGGCCGATTATCTCCTCCTGCTCTGCCTCGCCTTCTACCCGTCATGACCCACCGCCTCACTCTTTCTCACTCAAGTGCCCTTTCTCCCCCTGCTCTCCCTGCGCTCTTGACCCCAGTTGCCATGGGAATTGTGGGTCTTCTAGATGACTTCCTCCTCCTCCTCTGCCTCGCCTTCTACCTCTCCCTCATCTACCGCCAAGCTGGTTTCCCCTCCCTGCCCTCCCTTCTCTCGCAGTTGCTATGGGAATTGTTGGCCTGTTGGATGGCTTATTACCGCTCCTCTGCCTCGCCTTATGCCTCTCCGTCATCTACCGTCACCCTTTTCTCACTCAAGTGCCCTTTCCCCCCTCTGCTCCCCCCCTCCCCCACCCAGTTGCCATGGGAATTGTTGGCCTGTTGGACGGCTTATTACCGCTCCTCTGCCTCGCCTTATGCCTCTCCGTCATCTACCGTCACCCTTTTCTCACTCAAGGGCCCTTTCCCCCCTCTGCTCCCCCCCTCCCCCACTCAGTTGCCATGGGAATTGTCGGTTTATTAGACGATGTGCTCCTCCTCCTCCTCTGCCTCGCCTTCTACCTCTCCCTCATCTACTGCCAAGCTGTTTCTCCCTCTCCCTCTACTTCCCCCAGTTGCCATGGGCATCGTTGGCCTCTTGGACGATCTGCTACTCCTCCTCTGCCTCGCCTTCTACCTCTCCCTCATCTACCGCCAAGCTGCACTGGCTGCAGCATCTGTGCTCCCCACCGCTCCTGCTCTCTCCATCCCCTTTACAAGGCGATTCGCTACTCGCGATGATGCTAGCACAGTGCGGAGGGAAGGGCAGGAACGGGGGGGGTGGGAGCAGGGCA